GGAGATGCTATTTGAAGAATTTTAGAACCTCCGTTCCTTTTTTCGTGATTTTTGTCTGAAAAATTATTTTTTCAGAAAAAAACGAATCGAGATCGCGTATTGAAGGTTTACCGAGCGGAAAAGGCCTTCTGTAAGTTCAGTTCTATTCAGTATTTTAAATTATTTTCTATTTTGAGAGCTCGTCAAAACTTTATTATTTCGTTCCGATAGAAAAACAACCGAAATGGTCAGTTTTTTGCTTATTTTCTCAACTTGTGAAGAATTTTTCGTAGTATAAACGGAAATCGATGATCAGAAAGCAAATAAAAGGGAAAATGGAGAAGTGAGAAATTATATTCACTTTTTTGGCGCATTTTTTGAGCTGGAAAGAAGTTTTGAAGGTTGATATTGAGGAAGTTTCGGTAGAAAGTAAGGAAAAAAAAAGAAATGGCCGTTTTCCCCACCTTTTCATATACAGAGTGGTATGAGGAATCGCCCGCTACTATGAGTGAGTTTATCTAGGAATTCTCTTCTTTGGCCCTTATCACTAACTGCAGGACAAAATATTGCACATTTTCGGGAGACGCAGACTTTTTGGGTTTCCCTCAAACATGTTGTTATATTTTGAAGAGAAGGGCAAAAGTTCCTGTAATTTCTCATGAAATTATGGGAAAACCTTCATTTTTTCCGAATTGTTCCCTTTTTCCTTTTCATTTTTCTGTGAAAAACAAATTTTCATCAGAAACATACTTGGAATAACCTCGGCTTGGCCGCAAACTGGAGGAGGGACTTGACGAAAAAAAAAAGTTAAAAATTTTAGGTGTGCGAACTGAGATATTTCATTGAATGCACTATAAAAAAAAAGCTTTCATAAAATCGAAAAATTGTTCTGATTTTTGGATTCAGCGTAGTCGATTTAGTCTAGAAACAGGTGTAAAATGGGGGGGGGGGACTTGGCTGACGCCATGCTCACTCATTCCATGTATGATCAGAAAGTAAAAAAATAATGGAAGTTTTTTTCTTAAAAAAAGCCGTTGTTGAAATAAAAAAACCTTTAGAACTTTTTTTCATGGTTTTAAATAAATTTGGAGGTTGGTGAATAAAATTATTACCTTTTTGAACAAAAAAACAGCTTTAGTTTTTAAACACTTTTTTTCAAAAACTTTTTTTCTTTTTTTGCAAATCGAGTTTTTTTCAGGACTTTCCGTGATTAGATTGAATGTCGACAATATTTTCCTTATCAAGGATAATTTTGAATGTCGTTCGCCACAAATAAGTTAAGCTTCTTCCTGTTTTTTATGGCTCTCTTGACATTTCCAACACCCTTTTTTCGAAGATGACAATGACCGTTTTGGAAGCAAATTCGAGAAAAATATACAGTTCTTGTCATAAATATGTGCCTTTTCGATTTTGTAGGCTACCACTTGGCTCTAAATTATAGGAATCTACTGTAATTTCGAATATTTATGCACACCATAATAGACTCGAGTGAGATCATTTTTTAAAAATTTAAAAAAAGCAAAAAATATTTTGCTTTTTGAAGGTAGAAAAAAAGAAAATTACATTAAAAACTGGTTCTCAGTAGAGCGAACTTCCCTTACAACTCATTCGGCTCTCAAAACCGAACCTACGACCCCTTTCTTGTTAGGTGTCAATCTACCCAACTGCTCCATCCTGCTCTTAGAAAACCTAATCATTTTTTTTTTTCTTTTTTCATGATTTATTAAATTATGAGCTAAACAGGAGGAATATAAGTTTCCAGACTTCGAGTGGCAATTTTTTTTTGATATCAGTTTCAATCCGAAAATTTTTTTTTCTCAACCTAAAACTGAAAATCATCCCAAGTATCTTCAAGAAGCCACTTTAGTGGTCGCTTGCGGATTTCTGAGAAAAAGTTGTTACTATTGTATAAATGCGGTTCATTGACCTCATGGCTACCTTTGGAGTTAGTATGAGCGATTGTTTCTCAATTTCTCTCGCACCCTCCTCATAACATCCGTTCTATCGCCTCAAGCAAAACTGACAGAGGAAAGGGACGGGAGATAAGAAATTGACGCCGACTAGAGAATTTTTCTTGGTTTTATTTTCAATATTTTTCATTTCAAATTGACTTTCCTGCAATCCCTGTATTTTTGTTTCTCGAGTTTCCCGTTCTCAATTTGGTTTTCCTTTCTTGAAACCTGTCCAAATTTTTTTTTTTGAAATATTGCGAAATTCAGGCTTTTATTTTTCAGCAAGCCTGCCCTGATTTTTGTTAACTTTTAATGAAAATTGGAGCTTTTTTGTCGATATCTTAGATATTCTGGTTACTGTAGTTACTTCTAAAACTCTGATTTTCGCCTATAGCTAATTCACGGCTCACTTGAACAATCGAAAAATGAGTCCTGAAACGATAAGAAAAGGGCGAGAGAGAGGAGAGCGCAGACAAGACACGCCCCACAGCCTTATATTATTTTTGCTCTTATTTAGCGAAACTTGAAAAATTCCGATTCATGACGGCTCTCTGTCCTCCCCTCGACTATGTCACGTTTCCTTGCCTTTTCCATGTTTCCATCACCTCACCGGCGAGAGATAAGAGACGCAGATAGGTCAGATTCGTTCAAGCTGTGGCAAAACGACTATTACATTCATAACTTTGCATTCTTACAGAGCCGACGGATGACCACAAAATTTGAGCTGGACCAGCAAAAACAGGAATACCTGAATAAGAAAAATGAATGTCTCGAAAGAATCAAGGTCGAAAAAGAAAAGGAACAAGAACTCTTTGAAGGAATCATGACGGCGTTGAAGAACACGCACGAAAACTTCAAGAAGAACATTTATGAAGAGCACAAAACTGAGGATGGACGTCAACAGCTGAAATTCTTCGAAAACGAAATGAGAAAACGAGAAGAAGCTCATAAGAAGAAGATGAAGCAGTTCCAAGAGCAGATCAAAGGGATCGAGACTGAGATCCGCAAGTTCCTTCACGATCGACGCAATCTTTCGACCGATCAAGACGTGAGTTTTCTTTGGAACTGAAGCTTCTCGCTTCGAAGTCGGGCTATCGAAAAGGGAGTTTCCACACAAAATTACCTGAAAAAATTCAACAATATTATCTGACAAGGGTCTTTCTCAGCACCGAGTTGAATTTTCTATGAAGATGTACTTCAGAACCTTCTTATTTCAGAACAAGGAAAGAAATTTCTCGATTTTGACTCAAGTAAAATTCAATGAAACTTCATCGTGGTTGTAAGGCATACTTAAAAACGCCAGAATGGTCTTCATAGGGATCAGAGAGAAAAACAGACCCTGTAGGAGATAAGAAGTTCTCCCTATAGGGCTGAAATTCAAATGATCCTTATAGGGGTTAAGGTCTGATCCGTGACTTCATAACCTTCTCCTTTAAGGGCCCCTAATTAAAAGCTTGACTAGGACCATTTTTGCAAGCCTCCGGGGCCCCTATAGGGGTCGGTTAAATGGTCCCTATATGAGACCCTCCAAGGGCCCCTAAAGTTGCCCCTGTAGAACCACTCTCGAGGGAAGTAAATCCCTGGTGAGATTATCACAATGGTCTGCTCAGATTTTGAATTTCATTTAAAATGACGTCATTCAAATACGCTATTTGCATGGCTCGCTCTCTGATTGGTTCTTCGCGCCATTCGGGACGGAGCTTAAGTGACGAAATCTTAACAGACCAATTCACTGTTTTAGTGGCCTTCAGGAATTCTTCAAATTCTTTTTCAGTTTGAAGATTTAGCCGACGAGGTCAAACGTGACTTTCCGGAGACTCCTCAGCAGGATTATATGGTTATTCTTATTTTATTTATCAAGAAAAAAAGTATTTCCAGAAGCAGGTCAGCAGTTGGGTGAACAAAATGTCAAATGAACTATCTGAAAACTTTGTGAGTCTTTCAATGAATTCTATACCTTTTTCTATATTTCAGAAACGGTTTGCCGGAAGCAAAGATGAGGAGGATGAAGACAGTGACGAGAAAATGAAGATAATGTTGAAGAAGCACCAGGAAATGATGGATCGTGACAGAAAGGAACACGAAAAAGCCATGAAACTGGCCGAAGAAGAGTTCGAAAAGAAAGAGAAGGAAATGCGAGAAAAAGAAGAGAAGGAAAACTTGGAGGAGGAAGAAAATCGAAGGAAAGCTGTCGAAGAACGTCGGGCCGTGGAGCAGAAGAAGGCCGAGGAATTCTCTGAAAAAATCAAGAAAGACGCCGAAAAACACTGGGAAAAGATACAGGACCACCAAGAAATCAACAAGAAACGGATCGCGGACCTGGAGGAGAGGAATCGACTGGAAGCCCAACGAAGATGTGAAAAGTTCGAAGAAGAACGTCAAGTTGCTGCGAAAAAAGAAGAGGAGAAGAATCGGGCGTTTGAAGAAGAACGGGAAGTCTTCGAAGACGAGGAGAGAAGAAAAGAAGCCGATCACCAGGAGAAAATGAAGGAGATCGACGAGAGAATGGCTCGAGACGCCCGGGACCACGAGGCGAGGGTCGAGGAGATGAAGGAACGCGGGCGGAAGGATTTGGAAGATCAAATGGACCGCTTTGAGCAGCGACGGCGTGAACAGCAAGAGTGTCTTCAGATGTTGAGGAACTTCATGATCAGGCAGACCTGGAATCGGGTAGGTCCCGGAGAATGGCTCAGAGCGCTGCGGTTGCGGCGCGGACGCCTTGGTCGAGTGTTTGATAACCGCGACGCCTTGAGTTGTTCTATGATATCCCATAACTCAAAAATCGTGAAATGAAATAATAGCCTCAAAAATTAGAGTAATGGGGAAGAAAGCGCGCTCCACGGCTAATTTCATTAATTACTTCTAACCTGGAAGAGAATACAGCCGCTCGACCCAAAAAAATAGTCAATTTTTTGAATTTTCAAACATTGCTACTGGGAAAATGTTCTAGTGACCACTATAGAGCCTCGCCAAGGACTACTTGGAGAGGACACTAAAGCGGCCACTAAGCCCTCCTCTATAGTGGCCACTATTTTCCGTTTAAGTGGCCACTATAGAGATTTTGCTTTAGTGGCCACTTCAGTAGTTTTTCATCCAATATTCCTTCCATTTACCCCTGAAGTGGCCACTTAAATTCTAAGTGGTCTAGTGGTAGCACTTCGACCACTAAAGTGGCTTCTAATTTTTAACCTCTTAAGTGGCCACTAATTTGACTACTATAGTGGCCACTAAAACGTCAACCCTATATTGGCCACTAAAAGTTTTCCCAGTCTAGTCCATTTTTCGCGAATCGAAAGGGGGATTTCTCTGCGCCCTCCTTTTCTCGGCGACCCTCTCATCATGGCGTGCTATTTCCATGCTTCTCTGACCTAGCCGGTGAGAGAACAGAGAGACGCAGACAAGCGAAAAATTTCAAGTCGCGACGAACAGACTATAGCCGATTCACGGCTAGCTTGAGACGCTAAGAGGGCGTGGCCTGTCTGCGCTCTCCAAGAACCAGGCACTATCTCGGTCTCATTTTTCGATGGCTCAAGCCAGCCATGAATCAGCTATATACAAAAATAAAGACAAAACCCTGAAAAAGTCCATTTTTTTTTTCCTATTTTGATTATCTCTTCTGAATCCAGATGGTCGAACGGCGATGGGCTCAACGATTGATGTATCTGAGAGGCTCCGTTGAAATCCTATCCCGACCCTTTTCGGAGATTCGCAACGAGGTTTGGGAAACGTTTCAAAACTTAGGTTTCGTACGAACTAGCCACTGCTCCATAGAAATGAAAAAAACACTTGATCAGTAGCTGTTTTTTCATCAGTTCAACCTCTAGTAAATAATTTCATTTCCAGATCTCAAACTACCGTTTCTCTCGGAAGGATGAAGCTGCGATCAAGAGACGAACGGACATTTTGAAGGTTGTCCCAATTTTTTTTCCTCATTCAAAAACAAGTGTGGGATCTTTAAGTTTTCACACAAAATCAATTTCGAGCCATTTTCAGCTCTTGGAAGAGCCAATCAACTTGGCGATCTCTCAACTAATTGCTCGGATGGAAGCGGAAGCTCAAAATATGGCCGGACTCTATGAAAATGTCAAACCTGAACCTTTCCTTTTGGAAATCAAGGTATCAAGAAACTGTGCTGCTGGGTAGCGCTTCTAAACGAAACAAAAAACTACTGAACCCTGAAGCGATCACTAATTTCGTTTAAAGTCTCACCCCTCAAGTGAGCACTTGACGTTATTTGAAAGGAAAAGCAAAAAAATCTTGTGGAGCCCGTCTAAAATTAAACATGCGGAACTCTCAAGGGGTCCCTCACAGAACTACTCTAAATGGAACCCTCAAGTGATCACTATTTTCTTTTAATAGTCTCACCCCTTAAGTGAGCACTTGACGTAAGCAAAAAACTCTTATGGATCCCCTCAATTTCTCTATGAATTTAACACGGAGGAACTCTCAAGGGGTCACTCACAAAACTACACAAGTGGAACCCTGAAGTGATCCCTATTTTCATTTCAAAGTCTCACCCCTCAAGTGAGCACTTGACGTAAGCAAACATTCTTGTAGATCGCATCGATTTTTCTCTAAATTTAAACATGGGGAACTCTCAAGGGGTCACTTGAAAAACTACTCGAAGTGGAACCCTGAAGTGATCCCTATTTTCATTTCAAAGTCTCACCCCTCAAGTGAGCACTTGACGTAAGCAAACATTCTTGTAGATCGCATCGATTTTTCTCTAAATTTAAACATGGGGAACTCTCAAGGGGTCACTTGAAAAACTACTCGAAGTGGAACCCTGAAGTGATCCCTATTTTCATTTCGAAGTCTCACCCCTCAAGTGAGCACTTGACGTGAGCAAAAAACTCTTATGGATCCCGTCAATTTTTCTCTGAATTTAACACAAAGGAACTCTCAAGGGGTCACTTACCAAATCCCAAAGAAACCCTCTAGGGACCACTCCAACTCCCGACTGTTTCAACTAAAAAAAAATCAAAATTCAGCTCCTTTAGTGACCACTTGCAAAGTCATTCTCAGCGTAGTTGCTTTTTCAGAGAAGAGTCCTCGAAGCGGCTGAAGAGTGCAGGAAGTTTAAAAGCGCCGTCGACAACGCCTATGAAAATGTGAGATTTCAAAAAAAATTATTTGCTCGAAAAGAGCCTTACTAAAAGATCTGTTCCAAGTTTACAGAACTTTGATGAAGATTCGCTGGAGAAGTTCATGAAAGCCAAAAGTGCCGTTGGAGATGCTCACGGTCGAATTCCGACTCTGAACGACCTCAAGGAGCAGTTCGAGTTCTCGAAAAACGAGAAGAAGGAAAGTGATGATGATGAAGAATGTGATGAAAGCTATGAACATGACGTCATCATCGAAGAAATCGAAGAGGACGTGGAAAACGGAGAGACGCAGGTACTATGAGCAACTTTGCACTGTTTCACTTGAATATACGTGTTTTTTTTTTTGCATGTAAATATTTTATCGACGATGGAAGTTTATACGGAAGCATTTGAAATAAATATTCGAATTTTCAGAATTATCTTAAAAGAGATATGAAGCATGGTCGGGAAAAAAAGCAGAAGAGGAAAATGAAACATGATTTCGGAACTGTTTATAGAGCTTGGACGGTTATTTTAGAGGTAATTGTCAGATTTTCTATCAACTTGCTCAAAAGCTTGGTCGGTGAAAAACAATTTCTGCTTTCGGACCTGCATGTCGGACGACCGGATTTTTTTAAAAATTTTTGAAGTTATGTTTGGGACTTTGAAACTTGTGAACTATTTTGGAAGTTCTGTTTGGGACTGCCAAAATTAGCTGTACTTATACGGGTTTAGCACGGCTGAGCGACCCTTATCAGCGTGAGAGATCGTTGAAGTTTTGTTTGGGACTTCTTAAACTTTGAGCTAATTTTTTTTGAAGCTCTTTTCAGTACCATCAGAAATGACGCTTTTGGAATGATTCTTGGGACTACCAAAAAAGTTCTATTTTTTAAGTTTTTTGTTGGCTTTTTTTTCTGGAAGGCCTTGAAGCTTCAACTTCCTATGAAATCCATAAAAAAATTCCATATGTATGCTCATCTTTTTTTCTTTTTCATTTTTCGATTTCTCCCTGTCGACGACAGGAAGTGGACTATTTTATCATTTCGATAGATAACCGTCATTCATTTCACAAACACTTTTTTTCGTTCTTCTTCCATGCAATAAATTCTTCCTTATTCGGCAAAATTTCAACTTCAGTCCTTCCCCCTGATTTTTTTATTTGGAACCTTTTCACGAAACTATTACTTTCTAATGAAAGCCTTTCATTCAAATCTCGTTCGAAAAGACTTGAAATACTCGGACCTGTCTTCACTCTCTTTTCTCTCACCGACGAGGTCATAAAAAAGTGCAGAGGGCCGTGAATGGCTTGAGAAAAAAAAGTGCGCCGAAAAACAAGGCTCTACTTGTCGAAAATAACTTCTTTCTCATTTTTCAGTCCCGAGAAAAGAATGGAAGCGGAAGGAAATGCAGCTTCACCGCTGGGTGATACGGAATCACAAGATGAAGTCGCAGAAAAGGTCAGAGATTTTCAGATTTTCCCGTTACTCAAATGTTCGTGCCAATCACATGCACCTGGGAAAATTTTTAGTGGCCATTATAGTAGTCAAATTAGTGGCCACTTAAGAGTTAAAAAATTAGTAGCCACTATAGAGGTCTACGTGCTACTACTAGACAGCTAAAAATTTAAGTGGCCACTTTAGAAGTCAATAGATCAACATAACTGGTCCAATCTGTTTGTTTTACAACTATCAGAGTTACTGGAAGGAATACTGGATGAAAAACTACTGAAGTGGCCACTAAATGGAGAACCTCTATAGTGGCCACTAAAACGGAAAATAGTGGCCACTATAGAGGTGAGTTTAGTGGCCAGTTTAATGTTCTTTCCAAGTAGTCCTTGGCGAGCATCTATAGTGGTTCCTAAAAATTTTCCCAGTCAAACTTGAGTTTTAAACCATGTTGGTGGGATTTTTCGCTTTTCAAAAAGCCAAATACCCTTTCTGATTTCTCCCTTAATCCTATTTCACAATCCCTAAAAGTGTTAGTTCGAAATATTCTTTCTTTCAGGTCTTTTCAAACAAACCCGACAATTCTGGAGAACGAGAACCGCCGGAGAAAACGGAAATCGACCCGCCAGAAGTCGAACTTCGAAAGAAGTTGGAAGAAAACCTGAAAATACTCGACGAAAAGGAGGAGAAACTGCAATGTGTCGAGAAGTCGTTGAAAGACTTGGAGCAAGTTCAGATCAGGAAGAAAGAGGTGTTGGAGGACATGATGGAGATGCTCTCGAGAGATCGCTCAAGTTTGAAATCGGAAAAAGGAATTCTGTCCAGAAGTCAGAAATCGTTTCGACCTTCGAGAGTCCAGGAGGAAAGTCTGAGATCAAAGCGACAAGAACTGAGAAAGAAACAATTGAAAACCGAGTTGGCCGAACTGAAAAGACTCTCCGGCCACGTTTTTGATTATTTCAAGGATGATGATTACTTGGTGAGTTTCTTTTTTAGTACCTGTACTTTGCGATTGGGAATAGCCTGAACTTCGGCCAGAACACTCCTTGATGTACCAGAAAATGGTTCTGAAAGTCCCAAGCTACACAACCTCGTAGACTTCAATAAATTATGTTTCAAAGTCCCAAAATCGCTCATTTGAAAGGATTTTTAAGGTGCCTTTTCTCAAAAACTAGAAATATTTGCAGGTTGAGACTTTCCCGACCTTCATCTGATACATCAAGGAGTGTTCTGGTCAATTTTCAGGCAAATCCTAGTTTCAAAGTAAAATGACTTCGCTTGTCAGAAACTTGTTTTTTCGAATAACTATGGGTAATCAAAAGTAAATTACCGTTTCCTATAAATGTTTTGTCTCGAAAATTCCAAAACCTTGAGATTGTGAATTAAGAAAAATCAGCAATGAAAACAGACAGTATTTTTTTTAGAGAAAATTGAGGTAAAAAGTTGGAAAAATCGATATTCTGGGAAAATGTTTAGTGCCCACTATGGAGGCTCGCCAAGGTCTACTTGGAGAGGACACTAAAGTGTCCACTAAAGCCACCTCTATAGTGGTCACTATTTGCCGTTTTAGTGGCCACTATAGAGGTTCTCTATTTAGTGGCCACTTTAGTAGTTTCTCATTCAGCATTTCTTCCAGTAACTCTGATAATTTAAAAAAAAAACAGATTGGACCAGTTATGTTGATCCATTGACCCCTAAAGTGACCACTCAAATTTTTAGTGGTCTAGTAGTAGCGCTTAGACCTCTATAGTGGCCACTAATTTTTAACCCCTAAAGTGGCCACTAATTTGACTACTATAGTGGCCACTAAAACGTCAAAACCCTATAGTGGCCATTCAAAGTTTTCCCAGTTCATTAAAAAGCTCCTAATGAAAGTTTTGGTCCAACAGAAACTGCATTGAAATGAGAAGGAATGCAGAACTTCCACAAGTCGTCCATTTCATTTTCCTTTTTCACTTGTGTATTTCCAGAGAAATATGGAATTGGCGGCCGATTCGTGCGACCAACTAATTAAAACGTGTTCAAAGGCTGCTGATAGGCTCAAAGAGCTAAATTCTGCTCAACCAGACCTGAAGGTTGACAGGAAGAAATTGAAAACCAGAAAAAATCCATTTCCAGAACAAACTTCAAAATCTGTTCGAAAATGCGAATAAGTTGAAGCCGCGGCTGGAGGAGTCGGACCCTTCGAACTGGGATCAAGTCAAGATTCTGGTGGATCGATTGAGAAACGCGGCGGAAGGTCTATCCGAAACTGTGTAGGAAAATCGATTTTTTTGTTGAAATAGTAAATTTTTTTAATATACTCCATTCACAAGAGAAGTTCGATACTTGAAATTTTGCTGGGATAATCAAATTAAAAGCGCTATGAATTGGTTAAAAAATAAAAATGGTGAAAATGGTTCCTTTTTTCGGACGGTTTTTGAAAGAACATCTCAGCTGATTTTGATGGCCAGCCACGGAGAAGGACGAAGCAAAATTGGCGGTCATGGAAACTACGATGCTTCGCTGGACCGCCGGTGTCACGAAGCTCGACCATGTGAAGAACGAGGACATGAGGAAGAGATTCGGAGTGGCGCCGATCCGAGAGAAGCTGCGCGAAAATCGCCTGAGATGGTTCGGCCACGTTCTACGAGCCGACCCCACGTCCATAGCGAAAACAAGCCACACGCTGGAAGTCGATGGAAAACGGCCAAGAGGCCGACCCAAAAGAAGATGGATGGACACGCTGAACGAAGCCCTTAAAGCGACAAAACTACATCCAGACCAAGCGGCCGACAGAACAAAATGGCGACAACGTTCCAGAAAAGCGGACCCCGCGACCGAGCGGGACAGACGTTGAAGAAGAAGAAGAAGATCTCAGCTGATTTTGAGAAAAAAAAAACCCCCAGGCTTTCACAAGGGAGGTCATATTACTTTGCGGTTGGGATTTTCCTGAAAATTGGCCAGAACCTTTATTGATGAACCAGAACAAGGTCCTGAAAGTCTCAACCTGCACAACTTCCTCATTTTTGGGAAAGCCCCCTTAAGAAAACCCTCAAAACCCATGAAAATGGGCTATTTTGAGCCCTTATTTCTCGAAAACTAGAAAATTGTGCAGGTTGAGACTTTCAGGATCTTCATCTGGTACAGGAGTGTTCTGGCTGATTTTCAGAAACCGCAAAGTAAAATGACCTCCCTAGTCTAAGGGGCATTTTTCTGCGAAAAAAATTTTTTTGAATCTCTGGGAAAACTTGAAGTGCCCACTATAGAGGCTCCCTAAGGACTACTTGAAGAGGACACTAAAGGGACCACTAAAACAACCTCTATAGTGGTCACTATTTGTTCATTAGTGGCAGCTTTAGTAGTTTTTGTCACCTTGTAGTACCATTTAGAACTCTTTAGTGACCACTGATTTTTAACCCCTAAAGTGGCCACTGATTTGACTACTATAGAGGCCACTAAAACGTCAAAACCCTATAGAGGCCACTAAAATTTTAAACAGCTCTTTGAAAAAAAAAAGGTTTAAAGGCGCATCAAAAAGACCAAAAATGTTTCGTTTCAAAACTTTTCATGTTTCCGGACCCTATTATAAATTTTGCATGGCTTTATGCTTTTCGTTCTGAGACCCGTACTACAGTAAACCTTTATTTCCATCAAATCGGTCCACTAAGAACGCGTCAACCGCCATATCAGGTTACGAAACGATCAAAAGCCCCAATAAAATAAACCTTTCAATGAGTCACCTGACCTTTCCTACGTCATCTTTTGGTTAAGGGGCCTGAAAAGCTTGAGAAATTTTCAAATATAAGCGAGGCCCAGCGACTATTTGATAAGCTCTTTCTCTCTCTCTCTCTTCTCCAAATGCTTATCACGATTTTCCTGTTTGATTTCGACTTTTTTTTTCTTCTTTCAGATTTAATATCTTTCTGGTTAAGGTTATTAGAAGAATATGCGGTTTAGAAGAGGTCAAAATAAATAAGTTAGAAGTACTGGGAAAATTTTTAGTGGCCACTATAGAGGCTCGCCAAGGACTACTTGGAGAGGAAACTAAAGTGGCCCCTTAACCCACCTCTATAGTGGCCACTTCAGTAGATTTTCATCCAGTACTCCTTCCAGTAACTCTAATAATTTTAAAACAAACATCTTAGACCAGTTATGATGATCCATTGACCCCTAAAGTGGCCACTTAAATTTTTAGTGGTCTAGTAGAAGCACTTAGACCTCTATAGTGATCACTAATTTTCAACCCCAAGTGGCCACTAGTTTGACTACTATAGTAACCACTAAAACAAGAAAACCCTATAGGGACCACTAAACATTTTACCAGTTCGATTTTTCTCACGAAATTTTCCTTTCAAACCTATCCAGGAAACTTTTTCAAGTTTCGAAACTGATACGCGATTAGTCTTTTCCTTATTTGCTCACGCTTTTTCTTCACCGTGTTTGCCGATATATGGTGTCATCAGATAGGCAGAAATTTCCCTTATCGAAACATTTTATTCGCCTTTGTCAGGCCTTAAAACTCGCCTTTCTTGACTCTTGTCTCCTTTTTTTCGTTGAAACTCATTTTTTAATTTTTCAGGGGACTTGAAGTCAGAACAAGGCCACAAAGATGCATATCATCGAGTACCCGGTAATTATTTATCTTTTTATTTAAGACAAATAGAGAAAAAAATGATGGGAGAAAAATTATTCATTCTATTTATATTTATATTTTTAAAGTAATTGGGTTCATAAAGTCCACAATCGAAATGAAAGAAAGTTTTTAAAAAAATACCCCTAAAAAGAAAAACTGAATTAATTTGTAGGCCCTGCCGTTCGCGACGCCCATCTACAACTTGAATCACGACGCCGTCGTTCATGTCCATGCTGAGCCCGTTCCTGGACCTACAAAGTACCTATTTATGCAATATTTCAAGAAAAAAACAAGTCAAAAAAAGATAAAAAAAATTTTTTTGAATAACTGTCGTGAAAGAGGTGCCTTCTGTGCATGCACCGCGACGCAAACACAGTCAAGACGCTTTTACGCAAATTTTTGATGACAATTTTTCTAATCGGTTTTTTTTTTCTTTTTTTAATGGTTTACTTTTCAATCAAACGCGTGATTAAGCTTTTAAAAGCGTAGGGTGAAGCTTTATGTATCATATAAGGATTTTTTGCTGCATTTCAACGTTGAAATAGCAAAAAAAAATATTTAATCCACTTTTTTTAAATTTTTCTCGACCGCCTCGTGCTTTTGAAAGCAACTTTTTTTAGTAATTGATATTCTAATTTTGTTTTCTGTCTTTCTAGAAAAAGTGAATATAAGTATATAAATTGGAAAAGGATGAATTTTCATTCGGAAATGTTCTTTCGAAAAAGTTTTTCAAAGTTGATTTCACGGTTTTCTATTTGCAAGCTAAAAGAAAAATGTATATCAGTTGCCTTTTTCATTCTTTTCAATTTCAGCGGATTTGTCGTGGAGTTCCCATCCAATGAAGGAATCGCTTTCCATTTCAACGTTCGTATGGGAAATTGCGGCGAGAGGACGGTCGTCTTCAACAATTTCAAGCACGGACAGTGAGTGAAACTTTTTACAAAACTGTCTCAAATTAATTTGCTTTTTTTTAGCTGGAAACACGAGGAACGCCACCACAATCACTTCCACTTTGGCCAATATTTCCATCTCAAGATCAGCAATCATCATCGTCACTTTTCGGTAAGATTCGAAAAAGATTGATTTTTCAGGGTTTTGAACAAAGAACTCAGTGTTTTTCGATTTGAAACTTCAAAAATCACTCCGGATTTCCTAAATTTCGAAGTTTTTTGTTCGATTCTCAGGCCCTTGGCTCGAGCCATCTGAACAAGGGTCTTGACACGACAAAAAAGGAAATAGCGCCTGATTGGTGGAGAGCGCAGCCGGGAGGCCACGCCGCTCAGCCGTAAATAGCTGATTTACGGCCACTACTTGTAAAATTGCTTTTTGAAATTTACAGTTAAAAATTTGAAGCTCGAAGGTCTAGTAAAAATTTCCCGTAAACTGGAGTAAATATTTTTTTTTTCTCAATCCGAGATGACTTTTCTCAATATTCCAGGTTCACGTGAACGGTCACCACTTGGGACACTTCCATCATCGGGAATCCCCCCATCATATCCATCAATTGGCGGTTCGGGGAGACTTGCGGGTTCACAAGATCCATTTCGAGAACTTTGACTTCCACAATGGCGGTGGTTAGTTTTCTCAATAGTCAAGGATAATTTTAAGGCCTAATATTCCGCTTTTTCATATAGGTAAAGTCGGAAAATAAAGTAAAGTCGGAAAGGGTGGAAAAAGGTTCCATATAAATGTTCCTTTTTTGCTGCCTTTTTGCGCCATTTCATCGGCCTTTATGCACCATTTTTGCTGCCTCTCCCTTTTTCTACCATTTCTTGATCTCAGAAAAAATGGAAGGCTCGATAGAGGGACCTTTTTTGCTGCCTTTTCGAAGCCTTTTTTTCTGCCTTTCTGCGGCCTTTTTGCTGCCTTTTTGGAGCCTTTTTGCGGCCTTTTTGGAGCCTTTTTTCTGCCTTTCTGCGGCCTTTTTGGAGCCTTTTTTCTGCCTTTCTGCGGCCTTTTTTCTGCCTTTCTGCGGCCTTTTTGGAGCCTTTCTGCGGCCTTTTTCGAGTCTTTTTCTCTTAGCGACCATTATCCACCATTCCCCCTTTACCCGAGCATTGGCTTATGAAGTTTAGAAAGCAAAAACCAATATTGTTATATACAATTCAATACAATTTTGTTTTCAAACCTTGGAAAATTTCATAATTTCCTTCAAAAAAATTTTTGAATTTCAACGAAAAAAATGGAACTTTTTCCCCTATTCCTGTGCACCAAATTCCGTTCGTAGACCAATTTTACGGCCATTCTTATCACTCTTGTCTCTAAAGAGTGATAAAAAAAAGATAAATCTTATCAGAAGTGATGAAATTTTCCCTGAATGAGCCTCAAATTTGGGTTGAGGCAAGGAAAAGGTTCAAAAAGGAACTGAAAAAACGTTTTTTTGATGAAAACGTTCTTTCCGACAATATTTCTGTTCATTTAAGGTTATTGCAAAATGACAATTTTTAAAATTTCTTACTGAAAAGCTTGAAAAGTGATCACTAAAGGGGATACTTTTCCTTGAAAAAGTCGTAAGGAAATTTTAAAAAAGTTCAAAAAAGCTAAGTGGTCACTTGAGGCCTTTTTGAAATTTTTCAAGCTATCACTTAAGCGATTCAATCACTGATTTCTGACTTTTTTGAAACTACCGATTTTCCGGGAACAAAAAATCGATTCCAGGAATCCAAATCGGCGGCGGGGCGGGAATGCCTGTACCAATGGGAGTCGTGCCAACTCCGATCGCCGTGGCGCCGACGCCAGTCATGGCCTACCCGACGCCGGCTCCACCGCCACCGGTCGTCTTCGCGCCGCCTCCGGTCGTTCAGCCGGCGCCGGTGATCTACGCCCCGCCGGTGGTTCAACAACCGCAGGTCGTGATCATCGAGGAGGAGCATCACCGGCACCGACGTCACCACCACCATCACGGCCTTCTTCATCACCTTTTCGATTAACTGTGATTTTTTACGTTATGATAACTTGTTGACGAGAAATGCGCTTTTTTCTAAAATGGTAATTCTCTCAAAGGAATAGTTACTCTACTCGAAACTTCATTCTCCTAGATATTTTGCCATAAAATTCAACTTTTTCCCATCGAAAATAAAAAAAATTTACACTCAGGAATTCTCTCCAGAACATATCATATAGTTTTGGAAGTTATCAATTCTCATCGATCGAAATTTTTCAAAACGCATTTTTCGTCACAAGTTAGCAGTAAATTAAAAAAAAGCCATTCTGGCGTTGTTATTCCCCGAAACTTTCCAAAATTCACAACATTATTTTTTGTACTGGAACAACATTCTTATTTACTACAGACCAAAAATCGATGAAACTCAACAACAAAATGGGAAAAACACATCCAACAACAAACAATACAAAAAAGAAAAGAACGGACATCTAAAAAATGAAACCGGCCAACTAACAGGCATAACAACAATTTGAAAAACTGTGGTTTAAGGGGCGGTGGAAGGCAACAACAGAAATAACAATATAAATTCAACAAAAATGTGTAAGAATTGGGTAAAACTGGGTAACTACGGAAAGGACAAAATAAGAATAAAAGGAGTAAGATTTTTGAAAAAGTCGAATTCTGTAAACATCTTACAAATTACGAAATTGTTTAAAGTTAGAGAGCAGGGGCAGTACAAGTGAAAGAGATAACAGCGTCACCCGAAGGTAAATGTTCATTCGTCTTTTTCTTCTTTACTTTCTCTTCTGTCCAGGCTTTCCTTTGAAGCCAGCCTTCACAACCGTCGGCGCCTGAAACATAATTAAATTTTGTTAAAACTAAGAACAGTCTTCGAGGAAAATTTTTTAACTTCTTTCACAGTTGGCTTACAGTTGAGAGAAAAATATTTGCACCAGTAAATATAATTTAAGGCGCCTTTGAATTTCGAAATAATTTTTTAAGATCTGATTTTCAAAAGATGGTTCAATTATTAGATAGACCAATTGAAAAAAAAAGGAAGACGCCAACTGTGAAAGAATCTCATCTTCAATCAAAAGTTGTTCAAAAAAAGCACCTTTTTCAAAAATTTCTTAGGTTGAGGAGCCTCATCGAGCTCTTCGATTCCTTCGTCACTTGAGGCGACATCGCTGTCGTCATCATCAGAATCGGCTTTGGCGGGGGCCAACTTTTGCTGCTTCAAGGGTTGTTTTGCAGCAGGTTGATTTTTCTTGCTGTCCTAAAAATCAGAAATTTTAAAAATTCGATTTACAATATTTATTCGAAAAAAAAAACGAAGCTATTTAAAAAAAAAATTTAATTTGACTTTCATTCCAGATGAACTCACCTTTACATTCTCCTTGGGCTTGACTTTGTTCAGGTTGTTTCTCAGGTGCGAATAAAACACGTCAACATTCTGCGACTTGATCTTCAAGTTTTTCGATTTCAGGAAGGCAGCGCGAGCTTCTTCTTCCGATGGGAACTTGATGAAAGCGACTCTGGAAAAGAAAAGTTATCAGGTGAATTTCGAAAGGGGAAAACTTTCTGCTCAACGCTCCCTTGAATCCAGTTTTCATGACGATGCTTTCAGCCTGTGGGTAGATGTTCTTCAGGTCGGTCTGCTTGCACTCGGCGGGTAGCGGCGAAAGGTACAACTCCAAGGGGTTTACCTCCGTCGAAAGCTTAGGTTTATCTCCTAAAAATATAATTAACTAATTCACCACGTAAAAAATCAAACCGGGTGGGTTCTTCGATTTCGCTCCGCAGAAATCAACAAACAACTCGCGGCCTTTCAGGTTTTTCTTGTTCAAAAGATCGTGGGCCTTGTCGCAAGCCGCCTCAGTCTTGAAGAAAATCCATCCGAACGTTGCTTTCCGGTTTCTGCGAACCGATTCGACATCGGGCGCCAGTTTCGAGAGCTCAGAGTCCTTCAAAATAATATTTAGAGCTATTACATTGAGACCTTTTTTACCGGCATGTTATGAGGGAAATTCTTGACGTAGAGTGTGCGGTTGTGGCGTTCTACTCGGCGACGTTCCTCTTCACCAAGAACACCCTCATCGAGCTGAAGAAGAACTTTTTATTAAAAAAATAATCCATTGGAAAAAAAACGAGTCACCGATTTTTAGGGTTCAAGCTTTTTTTCTTGTCTAATCTTCATAATTTTTGCACTAGAAATTAAATTATTTTTTTAAATGAAATATAAGGGGCTTCTCTTCAATCAATCATTTTATTTTCGCAACATCGGGGTGGGGCTTCTCTTCATAAAAAATATCAGTATGCAAAAGATTTGAATTCAACTTTTTTTTATTACACAAGATTATGAAAATACTAAAAATTGAATTGCAGTATTCACATTTTTGGATCTCAGTCACTTCGCGGAAAAGTTATAGCGTTTTTTTGAAAGAGAATAGTTGAAGGGTTTTTCTCGAACTTCCAACTTTTTCAAAATGCTACCAGTTATCCAGATACTCACCGCAGTTTTGACTTGCTTTCCATTGGTAGCCTTCTCTTCAATCTTTCGCTTGATTCCCTTTTGTTCCTGAGCGGCGGTGGCTTTCGGAGGGATCGTAGGAGCCTTGATCGGTTGAGCAGCAACTTTTTTCGGCTGCTCCTCTTCCTCCTCCTCATCATCTTCTTCTTCCTCGTCTTCCTCTTCCTCATCCTCTTCACTATCAGAATCAGCAGCCTTAGCAGTGTTTCCAGCACGAGTAGGTAGAGGTTTCTTCAATTGGGCGACGGATGCAACTTTGTCGTCATCCTCGTCGTCGTCTTCTTCTTCCTCTTCGTCTTCATCTTCTTCCTCGTCGTCGCTTTCTTCGCCGCTAGGTTGTTGTTGGAGCTGCTTCTTGATGGGAACATCCTCGTCGCTTTCCTCCTAGAAAATTATGTATATTTACCCAGAGTTTTAATTTCTGTGAGCGCATGGTTCAACCTAGTGAAGGAAAAAAGTTTACACCTGATTTTTATTGTCTAGAAAGCGTCAAATTTCTGAATTAAACTTTTAATTTTTATCGCAATAAATATGCACAAAAACTTATTTTGAGGCAGAAGTTCCTCAATAATTAATTTTTTCTTAGCTCTTTCAAGTTTTCCAAGAATGCTACGTACTTCTTCCTCATCCACTTCTTCGTCTTCATCCTCCTCGTCCTCATCATCCTCAGAATCGTCGTCGAAATTGAGTTTTGGGACATCGACAGCTTTGCCTTTAGCAGGATGAGGGGTCGCTGGAGTCTTCTTGCCCTAAAAATGCCCATTTTTAGGTATGTATGAGAAGAAATAGCAAACAGCCGTCACTGGAGTAGCAACTGCAGAAAGGTCGACTTTCTTCTTCTCTTCGGTGGTTGCAGCGCTTTTCAAGGAGCTCTTGAGGGCAGGCGTTTTAGACGTCACTGGCTCAGTCACTTCCTCGTCCTCGTCCTAGAATAAAAAAATTAACTGGTTTATATATATTTATTTATCACGTCTTCATCATCCTCCTCCTCTTCTTCGTCCTCGTCTTCTTCTTCCTCATCATCGTCATCTTCATCATCAGCGACAGCTGCTTTACCCTTCACAGGCGTGACAACAGCCTTCTTGGGAGCGGGTTCGTCGTCAGAATCTGAACAAAGCGTTATTCTTTTATCGGATTTCGAGCTTCAAACCTTCTTCTTCCTCCTCATCTTCGTCGATCTCTTCGTCATCTTCGTCGTCACTCTCCGCTTGAGCTGGAGCCTTTTTTGGGACAGCTACTTTTTTGGCAGCAGCAGCAGCTGGTGCAGGTTCCTCGTCGTCAGACTCTTCCTCGACCTCCTCATCCTCTTCTTCGTCGTCGAAATCTTCCTCATCGGAATCTTCCTGACCGTTCGAGGTGATTGGCACTCTTTTCACTTTCTTGGGAGTCTCTTCGTCGTCATCATCGTCGCTTTCTCCGTAAGGTCCCTTCTGAAAATTGACAATATAAGTTCTCTTCCGGAAATCAGGTTAATAATAATATTATTTAGTTACAGGCAGAACAAAATAACATGTACAGAAAAAAAAAGAGAAAAAATTGGCATTAAGGTTGGCTTGACGATCGGAGTTTATTATTGAAAAAACTAATATCTAGACTTCTGGAACTAGCTAGCACCTTCATTATAAATTCAACTTAATTTTTAAAAGATAAGTGGTTTTAGAAATAGCCATCTTGCATTTCTCCAAAGCCGTCCTTGTGATTCAACAGTACCTTTTGGAATTTCTTTCCAGCCAATGGCGTGTTTGGCGCAGACTTTACCCTCTTAGCATTCGGCTGCTCTAAAATTGAATAATTTTCTCGGAAATTTTTTTGGCACTAACCTTCCTCGTCATCTTCATCGCCGAAAGTCTTGCGCTTTTCACTGAAAGCTCCTTTGTTGGGGAATCCTCCTAAAAACACAACATTCATTAAAAAAAATTCTTCATTCTCCAGCTAACCTCGACCGCCACGAGGCGTGAAGCTGCCCCTGCCGCCACGATCTCCGCCCCGGCCGCGGAAACCATCGCCTCGACCACGGAAACCATCACCACGACCGCCGCGGAAGCCTCCTCGATCCCCTCCTCTGAAGCCACCGCTGCCTCCTCTTTGGCTGAATCCGCCACCGCGACCGCGTGGCGAGAATTCCTTGCGACCGGAGTATCCTGGAATTAAAAAATTGATACAAGAACTGAGAATATGGCTTAATGCTCTATGAGCATCACGCTTCTGAGACTGAAAAAAAAAGTCAGTAACCGAAAAAATGTAAAGCTCGAAAAATAAACACTAATAATTGAACTGTTGCTCACCTCCTGAGACTTCACCGTCGCCGCCATCTCGTCCTCCGCGGAAGCCACCGCGAAAACCGGGCGAGTCGCCACGGCCACCTCGGAAACCTCCACGGAATCCACCGCCGCCATCACTGTCACGACCACGGAAGCCACCGCCTCCACGTCCGCCTCTGAAGCCTCCGCCGTCGCTGTCACGACCTCTGAAGCCGCCTCCACGACCTCCACGGAATCCTCCGCCGTCGCTGTCACGTCCTCTGAAGCCGCCGCCTCCTCCACGGCCTCGAAAGCCTCCTGGTGAACCGCCACGACCACCTCGGAAACCTCCTCCGCCGCCTCTTCCTCTGGATGGTGAATCGTAACCCATGTTCTGAAATAGACAGCATGAGGAATTCACTTTACAGAAATAATGTAACCAAAAAAAAAAAATTCTGAAAACCTCATAAATGAAAAAAAAAATTTTTTTTATTATCGCACTTCTATAACTACAAGATATTTGAAATGTAGAAGAACAAAAAGTTACTTTTATTCGAATTAATTTTTTTTTTTTGACATGATGAAATGATAGTATCATCAAAAAGTAAACTAAGAAAAAAAGTCACGATTTAACTTGCTTGAATAAATGCGACTCTAATTCACAAATAAGACTTGTCAAAAAAATTAATAAATTAATTCTGATGGTAATTTCATGTGAACCGAACTTTCCGCAGCGCGTAGATTTCGAAAAACAACTCTATTTTTTTGTAATTTTTCGACTATAATTAGCAGAAACAAGAATGAAACAAATGATTTAACCAACAAAAAAACAACGAGGAGAAAAGAAAATTCGAATTCGAAAAACGCAACACTAGAATCTATCGTTGCGATGGTCCGATATGCAGAGTCGTCATGCGCCTTTAATAAGACTACGTTTTTATTTTCATTTATTTTGATGTCTCATTTTCTTGTAGATAATTATGTTATGTGCTCTCAGTTTATATTTTTTTTACAAAGCTCTCTGCCCTTTAAATTCATCAAACTTTTCTAAATTTTCCTTTTTTTATTTTTATCGAAGCTTTCTCGTTTTTTTTTTCGCTTTTTTTGTACAATTGTGACACTCTTATTTCTCTTGTTTTTAGTGAAAATGAATATTCGATGCGCTCGTGTAGAAGATTTGATGAGCATGCAACATGCAAACTTGATGTCCCTGCCGGAAAACTACCAAATGAAGTACTATTTCTATCATGCTTTGTCCTGGCCACAGCTGTCTTATATTGCTGAAGATCATAAGGTTTTTTGCCTCAAAATTCAGTGAAAGTAGTTGGAAAATTGAGGGAAACGTGGTCGGGTACGTTTTGGCGAAAATGGAAGAAGATCCTGACGAGGAACCACATGGTCACATTACTTCTCTTGCCGTCAAGAGGTCTTACCGACGATTAGGTAAGAAAAATAAAATTAATTCATTGATGATAATGAAGTTTTCAAGGTTTGGCAAACAAAATGATGGACCAAACAGCGAAAGCAATGGTGGAAAGCTACAATGCGAGATTCGTATCACTGCATGTACGCGTTTCGAACCGAGCTGCCTTGAATTTGTACCAGAACAACTTGAAATTCGTCATCAATGATACTGAGCCAAAGTGAGTGAGATTTTTGTCTCTCTTACTTTTTACTGTGTTTTGAGTTGCCTCAAAACCTGAAAGAGTCATGAAAATTTACTTATATTAGACCATGAGCCTTTTGGAATGATGATAAGTTATTTTTGGTGACGGTTTCAGTAAAAATTTGAGGCTATTTTTTTATTCTGAAAAAGTGGATTTATTTAGCTAAAAAAATCGCAGTTTTTTTAATCTTGTATTATTTAAAGTTTTTGTATCAAAATACTTTCTGACGTCCTTTAAGGACGATTTTTTGCAATCTGAACAAAATTTTGTGGTTTTTTTTTATTCTTTTCCGTTTTCCACTTTTTTTTAGTTATTCATTTTTTAAGGTACTACGCCGACGGAGAAGACGCCTATGCGATGCGCCGCGATCTCGTCAAATTCGCCCAGGAAAATAATATCGAGCCAGCCGATAAGGAAACTTTTTTCAACCCAAAATCCCACGAAGAAAAAAAGAAAAATCGTCAACATTAGGTCTTTATCCCCCGAAAATCTCATTTTATAGACGTTTATCCCAATTGTCAAAGTACCCTTTTATGATTGAAAAAAAATTTTGCGATTATTTGTTTAGTTTATCGATCTCTATTGGAAGGAAGCAAAGTTTATCTGCAAGATCCATTAGGTTCATTTTCCTTTTCTTTTATGTCAACTTGTCCCTTGTTGCCTTGTTGCTCTTCCGTTTTTTTTTCAACGTCTTCACCGGTTTTTTCGATGTTTAGTAAAGATTTTCTAAATTTTCTGGATGATTTTGATTGGAAAATATGGTTCTTTTGAAGCCATTTGTACTTTGAAAGAAAAAAATAATATTTCTTATTCAAATTTTTTTGTGTTTTTTTAGAAAGAGAAATTAAAATGAAACTACTGGGAAAAATTTTTTTAGGGGCCACTTAAGGGGTTAAAAAAATTAGTGACCACTTAAGAGTCCTTTTTAAGTAGTCCTTGGCAAGCCTCTAAAAAATTTTTCCCATTACAATTTGCTAATATTAACTTTTTTAAAACTGTTTTAAAAATTCTCGAAGTTGTTCAGGAGGTTCTGGGAATGCTCAAGAAGCCAAATGTATCCCAAAAAAAGTGAATTTTTTTGCCTTGTTTCCTTCATTTTTTTCAGAATGCATTTCAAACTTTTTTTGTTTATTGATAAATATTTTTTTGATGCTTTTTTTAACATTTTTTTAAAGTTCGCATTCTCAGTTGTTCTCTGAATAAAAATGATTTTCTCATCATAAAAAAGTTATTTTCGAAAGTTTTTTCGAAATTCCTTTTCATTTCCTCTTGATTTTTTTTCAACGTTTTGATATCGTTTCAGAGCCTTTTCCGGCTCGAAAGAGCAGAATGAAGGACGAAGACGGAACCGAGGCGGTCCGGAAAGGCCTGGCCGATCTCAGCCGGATGGGAGTTGCCCTGGAAGACCTTGGAAGGGTTCATAATATGACCGCCGGCGGCGCCAAACCCGAATTGTTCGTTTTTGTGTCGAAGTTGATCAGGAAGTATTGGAGAAAGTTATGGGAAGGCTTTTTTTTTTGCTTGAAAAGCTAAATTTTTCCAAAAAAAAAAATTGTCTGTTTTCTTCACTTTTACGTGTATTTAAAAACATCCACGCTTGTTATTGAAGAATTTTTCCTTAACTTTATAAGAAATTGAGTATTTTTCATTCAAAAAGACTATAGAGATGGGTAAAATTGATTTTTAATGATTTGAAAAAGATGTAGCGATTTCCCTCGATGAAAAAGGAGCTCAAGTAACAGATTAGAAGGAATAATCTCATATGAAAACTCATAAAAATTGTCCACATCCTAATTTTTTGAACTTCATACATGTTTGTATGATCCATAAGTCCTTAGCTTCGATCATCAATCCAATTTTAGCGTTCCCTAGAGGAAATTACTTGAAAAATGGTGATTTTTTCCACTTTAATGATTTTTTTTTCTGCGAAAATGATGTAAAAAAGGTTTTTAAAGCTTGTTTATAATCTATAACTATCTGAAAACGGGATTTTTGAACTCTTATGACCTGTTGAAGGGTTTTTCTTTTTCTTCTGAGGTTTCTTACGAAAGTTATTTGTTTTAAACAGCATTCCCAAGCGTAGAATACCCTAAATTATTTCTACCTTTCTCAATTTCATCGATCTTTGCTTTCCAAATGCACTTATCTTCATTTTTGTCATGTAATTTTTGATGAAATCCTATTTTTTGAAGCTCAATGAGGTTTCCGAGATCAGTAGTCAGATTATTTGAATTTCGAGCTTTTTTAAAAAAGACTTCTGCCAAAATTTAACGATTTTTACACCTCAAATTCACTAAAAAACATTTTTAACCTTCATTTTTCTATTCCCATTGATAAAATCCCATTTTTCGAAGCTCAACAAGGTTTCCAAGCTCAGATAATTTGAATTCGAGCTTTTTTTAAAGGAAATTTCTACCAGAATTCAATGATTTTAACACCTCCAATTCACTAAAAACCATTTTAAACCTTCAGTTTTTCCACCCCTATTGATAAAACCCTCACTATAACTATTTGTCGAAGCTCAACAAGGTTTCCAAGCGCAAAACACTCGAAAAACGGATTATCGGGCTTGGATTTGCTGTAGTGTTTGAACACCCGCGGAATGGTCTGCCCTTGAAAAATGGAAAAAAAGTTTCCATTTCCTTTCTCGCAAAACGTTTGTGTTTCTCATGGAATCATCAATCAATCAACATTTTCATTCCCATCGCGTAGGCGGACCTTTTTTCCGATTTTCTCTAGACAGTTTCAGTTCATTTGTTATCGAAAGTTGTTTATATTCAAGATTTTTGGTTCCCTGGCTTTTAAAAGTCTGCAATTTTTAGGTTTCTGTTATTTTATTTTACTTTGAATATTTTTAAAAAAACTATTTGTTGTTGATTTTTTTTTTTAAACTTTCTAAAATGGACTTTTGCTTGTAATTTGTGAAAAAAGGGATTCTTGAGAGTCCAACGAATTTTATTACCCTAATTAGGAACTACATAGAGGTTACTAAAGGGGAAACTTTAGGGGCCATTGAAGGGTCCTCTCTAGGGGTCGCTTCAACAATCCCTATAGGGGTCACTGAAGCTCGCAAAGGTGGTCCCTATAGGGTTTTAATTACTGGCCCTTATAGGGAACATGCTAGTCGATAATATATATGAACTCTATGCGAATACCCTTATAAGGAACACTTTTTCGACACCTATAGAGGTTGTTTTTCCCCCTAATCCCTATAGGGACCACTCTGGACTTTCTAAGTATCTTGTCTTTTTCAAATTCAACAAGAAATTTCTTTCAAATACTTCAAAGCAATTTTTAAAGTTGCATAGAAGGGAAAAAATTTTTTCTGAAGCCTTTGTATTGAAAAAATCCAATTTTACCACCTAGGTAACATGATTTTTATTTATTTTCGATAAAAATAAATTTTCAAACTTTTTATAGAAGCGAGAACTCTGTACTGAAAAATCGGGCGGTAATCCCACCATCCGACGAATTTTGCGACATGTCGGTCGTTCCAGCCGAATCCAGCTATGTTCTCTTCTTCCAGGTTCATTTTTGAGCCTCTTCTGAAATAAATAGGAGAATTGAAGGTTGTGTTCCCATTTACGGTCGCCGGACTTGGAATGGTTTTCGCCGGCCTGGCTCTTTCTGTTGTGAGAACTTGGCGGCTTTTTCAGGAGGTACAGGAGAATTTTTTGAAGCCAAAATTCAGGAATTTTTAGGATTTTTGGTCGGATTTTAAGAGTTTTATGGTAGATTTCAAACTTTTTAATCATTCCGTTTACTTTTTTTAATGTTTAAAAGGAATTCCATCTGATTTTAAGAAGATTATTTCTTTTTTAAACTCAAAATAGAGCTTTTGTGAAGTCTGAAACCTCATTAATTTCGGATTTTTAGGTCCCTGAAATCTACATCCTCGTCCCAGCTCTCCTTGGTTTGAAAGGAAACCTGGAAATGACGTTGGCTAGCCGATTGTCCACACTGGTGGGTGCAGAAAAAAATGACCAATTCAGGAATTTTTAATCAATAATGAACTTGTGTTTTTGATGAAAAAAGGGAAAATTCGTTCAAAAATACTTGTATCGGTTCATTTTCTGAAAAAAAGAGGTCAAAAAAGTGAAATTTTTTCCCATTACATCATGAAATTTGAATGGTTCAAAATTTTTTTTAATTTGATGAAAATTTAAATTTTTCTCGGACTATAAAAAGCCGATGAAAAGAACTAAATTTGAACGAATTTTCCATTTTTCCATAAATAAAACGCAAAATTTATCTTAAGAACCCTCAGAAGAAGCTGACAATGTTCCGCTGAAATTCAAAGTAATCCCTATAGGGGCAATCTTAAGGACACTTGAAAAGTTCCCTCTAGGGGCCACTAGAGATTGCAAAAGTGGCCCTTATAGCGGAAGTGCTAGCCGTTTTGTGTTATGAAATAATTGAGAGCCCCTATCGGGACCACTAAAGCTTCAGGGGCTTAGAGGCCAGGTCTCAAACCACTATAGGGACCACTCTGGCGTTCCTGACCTTTGAATCCTCTGGAATTTTTTTCACTCGCTTTCCAGCACCTTTTTTTTATTAAAGGAAGAAAATGTGAACTGAAAAAGGTCTGAAAAAATTTTCTAAAGAGTTTTTCCGTTCTGAAACCTTCATATCTGCAAATTCACATGATGTTCAACTTTTTCGTGAATTTCAGGCCAATCTAGGACACCTGGATTCGACGAAACAACGACGGGAAGTGATTTGGGCCAACCTGGCGTTGATCCAAGTCCAGGCGACGATTGTCGCCCTGCTCGCCTCGGCCTTCGCCGTGACTTTGGCCTGGATTCCCCGGGGAGAACTCGATTGGTCCCACGCTACGCTTCTGTGTGCTTCGGCTGTAACCACGGGTGGGTTCGGGCGGAAAAAGAACCCAGAAAAAGATGGAAATGGACAATATTTAGAGAAGTTGTAAGAGAGCTTTGGTTAGGCTTCCTTAAGTTTTAAGAAAGCTCAAACTTCATATTTTCGAGTTCAGTAGGTTAAATATGTAGTGTTACTACGGGTAAGTTCGGGCGGAAAAGGAACGCGAAAAAATGATGAAAAATTGACAATATTCAGAAAAGATGTTATAAGAAAGCTTTGGCTAGGCTTTTTTAACTTCTAGGAAAGTTCAAACTTCATATTTTTGAAGCCAATTAGTAAAACTTGGGCTTCTACTGTTACTACGGGCGGGATAGGGCGAAAAAAAAGCCCCAAAAAAAGTACGGGTGAGATAGGCTAACCTCCCCCTTCAATAGAAGAGAAAAAAACAAAACTTAGAAAATTTCATTAAAAAAACGCATAGCTTTGGTTGCCCTTTTTCAAGTTTTTAGTGAATTTCAAACTCCTGTTGTCACCACTAATGAGATCGGGCGTAATAAAAAAACTGAAAAAAATATATCTCCAAAAAAAATATAACTTTTATGAGATTTTCTTTTGATTTTATCGGTTCTAGATGCATTTTTTCAACTTATCCCTTTTTCTCAAAACTTCCTTATTTCCAGCCTGCAGCGCCTCGTTGGTCCTCTCCGTGTTGATGGTCGGCGTCATCCTCCTTTCTAGGAAATTCAACGTCAATCCGGATAATATTGCCACCCCGATCGCAGCTTCTTTAGGTAGAAAATTCAAAAAGTTATGAAAAAGTCACCGTTTTTTGAGAGGGAAAGTCTGAAAATTCCGATGATTTTTGCTCATTTATAACTGGGGAATTTGAAAGGAATAAGGTAAAAGTTGCCGTTTTTGAACGGAATTAGTTCATTTTTTCAGTAATCACTTTGAAGATTTTTCGCTGGCTGGATTTTTAAAATTTTGCCATTTTCAGGCAATTACTGCCTCATTAGATAGAATTTCATAAAAGTTTAAGTTTGAGGGTTCACCTCTAGGGACCGCTAAAGCTTCAAAAAATGTCCCTATAGGTAGGGACCGCAGACGAATTTTCAAAAAATTTTTTTCAGCATTGAGCTTTGTATGGTTCGATAGCTGTTTCGATTCAAAACTCAGAACCGTTTAGTTTTTCAAAAAAGATTGAGGATGAAAAAAGTTATGACGGAAAAGGTGGCGCGCCGCGCACCATTTTTTTAGTACTGAAATTTTGGTATTATCCATTTTTGACATTTTTTTCGATTTTTCTTCTAGAACAAATTTTGATACTGGTCTATTATGATGTAACAAATCATACTAGAGTGCTAAAATGATGCTAATCAGCTAGTTTGTCGAAAAAGTCGGTATTTTCCAGAAAACAAAAAACTGCCGCTTGCGGGCATCGAACTCGCTACCTCAAAATGTAAAATCGGAGCGCACGCGTTGCGCCAAGCTGTTAGGTCCAACGCGGGGAGCTTCCATCCGCCATACCCTTGAGCCGTTTGAATAGCACAGATTGTCTATTTCAAAAAGAAAAACTTGAAGTAATTTAGCTATTTTTATCAGAATATGTTTGCAAATCTTTACTCAAACGGTTCGTGGAAATTCACTTCGAAAAAACTGTTTTTTTAGTGCTTTTTGCCTCGTTTAACGATCGCTGCATTAAAACGGCCCCGTAAATTTTTGGCAAAGACGAATTTTTTATTTTATTCTTTTAATTGAAAGATTTTTTACTAATAAATGTATATAATCGTTTAAAAAACCTGCGTTCGACCGCTTTCTGTGTGATAAACGCCGCTAATTTTATCCTCTAGTTTCAAGAGCATTTTTGCGTATTAAACAACTTTTTCAAGCACATATTCTGTGGAGAAATATTTAAGTAAGCCCGTGATCTAAATTTTTGAAAAAAAGAAAAAAACTCGATTATATTCGCGTATTAACGATATTTTTGAATTACGACTTTCGGCACTCCCTAAAAATTTTTTTGGCAAAGACGAATTTTTTTATTTTATTGTTTTAAAATTACCGTTACTTGAATCAAAATCATTATTTAAAAAAAGAAAGAGTGCGTTCGACCTGAAAACACATGAAAAAAAGCAAAAACGACAAAATTTTTTTAGTTCCATTCACGTTTTTTTGTACGACATTCCGCGCGAACGCATCAAAAAAGCGTGAAATATTTTTTAAACGAAAGAGGAAGCTTTTCTGTACAAGTGTGTCAAATTTTATTTGCCAGTTCCACATATTTTACAACTACATCAAAATGAAAGTTGAAAACCAAAAAAAAGCCACTTTTTCTATCGCGAAAAGGGGCGTGGCTTTGCGGTCCCTACCTATAGGGTCTTGTATAGGGGCTACTTTAGGGGGAGCATGCTGTTGACTGAAAAATAACATCAGTGGAACCCCTATAGAGATCACTCTGGCGTTCCATACTTAAGAGATGACTTCAGTTTATTTTGAACTGATTTCGATCAGTTTTTCAAAAATTCAGGCTGTTTTTCCTATATTTTCGGCGTGGAAGATCGAAATCTTGCGATTTTCAGGCGATTTGACGACCCTCGGCGTGTTGGCGATGTTCGGCTCCGTGTTCCTGGAGGCCCATTTGACCGATTCTTGGCTCAACACCGCGATTATCATAGCTTTCCTTCTGATTGCACCGATTTGGGCGTTATTTGCCAATAATAATGAAGGAACTAAGGAGGTTCGTTGGAAGATTCAGTAGGAGGATCAGTTGAAAATTCAGGAATTTTTCTTGAAAACACATAAAAAAATTGTTTTTTTATTCAAAAAATTCGCGAAAAACGCTCGTTTCCCGCATAAAACTATCGTTTGAGGAAAGCTAGAGTGGTCCCTAGAGGTTTTAGTGAGGAAGGTTCCCTCTAGGGGCCACTCTATTCCCCCCCCCCCCTTATAGGACGCACTGAAGTTGCAAAGTGGCCACTCTAGGGGGGCTTTTGTCGTTTATTGTTATGGTGTCTAAGGAAAGAAGGAAGCAGGGATCTGGTTTTCAAGGTTCCCCTCTAGGGGCCACTTTATCCCCCCTATAGGGGCCAGCAAAGATGGGAAAAGTGGCCCGTTTGTCGTTTATTTTTATGATGTCTAAAAAAAGAAGGTAGCACTAGGGGTCTGCTTTTCAAGGTTCCCCTCTAGGGGCCACTTTATCCCCCCTATAGGGGCCAGCAAAGATGGGAAAAGTGGCCCGTTTGTCGTTTATTTTTATGATGTCTAAAAAAAGAAGGTAGCACTAGGGGTCTGCTTTTCAAGGTTCCCTTCTTGGGATCACTTTATCCCCCCTATAGGGGCCACTGAACATGGCCAAAGTGTCCACTCTAGGGGAGCGTTTGTGGTTTATTGTTATGATGTCTATGACAAGAAGCATTTTTAGGCGAAAAATTGGGTTTTGAAGGGTTCTCTCTATGGACCAATTAATCCCCCCTTTAGGGGCCAGTAAAGATGGCTAAAGTGGCCACTCTAGGGGAGCATTTGTCGTTGAGAGGAAGCTTTTTCAGGCGAAAAAATATGGGCTTTGAATGGTTCCCTCTAGGGTCCACCTTCTCACCCCTCACCAAGCTTTAGGGGCTTAGTAATGACTTCTTAAAACCTTATAGGTACCTTCCAAATTCTACTCATACGGGACTGTTTTTCCCTGACCCTTCAGGGCTCGCTCTAGCGTTCCTAAGTTTGTTCATTTTTTAAGAAAGATGATCTGATAGATATTTTTTCATTTAGCCATAAAAAATGAGCCATAAATTCACGTGGTCCTGGCAACTAGGTCACTTACGTGGCGATAACGCCCTGAATTAATCATTTTCAATTTTCGTATATTTATCATTTTTTTTCCCCCAAAATTTTGTTAATATTATTATCAATGAATTAATTTTATTTTTCTTACCTAATCGCCGGTAAGACCTCTTGACGGCAAGAGAAGTAATGTGACCGTGTGGTTCCTCGTCAGGATCTTCTTCCATTTTGGCCAAAACGTACCCGACCACGTTTCCCTTAATTTCATATTTATTTTCACAATTATTATAAATCTTGCAGAAAAACGTTTGAACTTTTGATAATTTATCTCCCGAAAGCTTGATATTGATATTTTCATTGAAAAAGTTCATTTCATAGTTTTTTGAAACGTATTTCCATCCAAGGCAGCCCTTGGCTTGGCGGCCAAGCAAAGTCATTTAGCCAAAAGATAGAAATGAGCCAATAATTTACGTGGTCTTTGGCAATAGGTCACTTACGTGGCGATAACGCCCTGAACTAATCATTTTTAATTTTTCTGCATTTTTTTTTTCCCAAGTTTCTTGTTAAGAAGCTTTATTAAGAGCCAAGTCAGCCAAAAACAGCAAAAAGCCTTTTTGATTTTCTGACGTTCAAAGTAATTTCCAGACGCTGTACAATGGGTGGACCCCGGTGATTATGTCGATGTTGATCAGCAGCGGCGGCGGATTTATTCTGGAGAATGCCATCAGGCAATATGGCAACTTGGCGAGCTTCCAACCCGTTATTAATGGTTTGAATTGTATTGGAAAAAATATTGTCGAGATTTTCGAAGTTTCAAAATTTCCCTGTTCATTTTTCAGCCAGATTTCTTCGCTTTAAGGATTTTTTGAGGGTTAAACTTTGTTCAGAATGAGTGATTTCAAGGCCTTCTGGAAGGATTTTCTTCAAAATTTGATTTCTACTGTCGGAAACAATGATCCAATCTAGATCCAAGCCCAATCTATCGCTAAATCGATTCAATAATCTCAATTTCATCGATTTTTCCCGTTTTCCAGGTGTCGGCGGCAACCTGGCGGCCGTCCAAGCCTCCCGTCTTTCCACGTATTTCCATCAAGCCGGAACTCTTGGCGAGCTGCCAAATGGCTGGGTCGTCAGCCGATTCCGAAGCCTCAAGAGAGCCTTCTTCAGCAAGGGTTTTTTTGAAATCATGCCAAGGATTCACGAATCTTCCTCCCCTAGATTGGGACTCCCGATCGGCCCGAGTTTTGCTGCTTCTGGTCGTCCCGGGCCACATGTTCTTCAACTGGCTGATTAGGGTTTTCCACGTGGCCGACGCCTCGACGCCCTCTCCGCCCACGGGACCCCTTTTCACCAGTTTGTACCTGATCGCCGCCGTTGTTCAGGTGGGAAAAATGGCCTAGAAGTTGAGAATTTTGAGTAAAACTGGAAAGTTTCAAAAACGAGTTCCTTGCGGTTTTTTAGATAACCTTTAGATGTAGAATAAATATTTCCAATAGTATTTTAGGACAAAAGGTGGAGCTTAGAAATTCCAGAGGGGTCCCTAGAGGGTTTGGAGGAAAAAAGGTCATATTAGGGCCAAAAAAGTGGTCCCTGTAGGGGTGAAGTTTGGTGGGTCCTTATAGTGATTTTGAGGGAAACATTAAGCCTGTAAGTGCCGAAAAAGTGGTCAATTTAGAGGTGAAGTTTAGGTAGTCACACTAGGAGAAGGGTAAAAATTTGGTGGTCCCTATAGTGATTTTGAGGGAGAAGAGCTTCAATTGGGGCCGAGAAAGTGGTCCCTGTAGGGGTTAATTTTAGGTGGTCTAGGGTTTGGGGAAAAAAAACAGCTCATATTCCAAAAAAGTGATCCCTGTATGGGTGAATTTTAAGTGGTCCCTTTAGGGTTTGGGGGAAAAAACAGCTCATATTAGGGCCAAAAAGTGGTCTCTGTAAGGGTAAAGTATAAGTGGTCCTAATACGGGTTTATTAGGGTTTTAACTCAGGCTATTTTCCGAATTGTGTCAGAAAAATTCAAAGTTTTTTTGGTAGCGGTACTCTCATATTCAATTTTCTCTTTGATTATCGATGGAGCGCAACATTTTTTTGAATCGAAACTATTTTCCGATTTTTCTCATTTAAATGCTAAGGAAAACCTCGAAAATTCTCAGGTGGCGGTAGTCGAACATTGGTAATCCGAAACGGACGTGTTAAGGCATTTCTAGTGACCGCTTTAGTAGCGTTAGGACACTTAAGTGATCCCTAGAATGGCACAGAAATATCCGGAGAACGTCCGTTTCGCGTTACTAATGTCCGAGTACTTTTATTTAATTTTCTCTCTTTTGATTATCAATGGAGCGCAACTTTTTTTTTCCTTATTTTGGCTCTTTTCCAAGTTATATTGAACATTTCTCAGGTGGCGGTACTCTTGTTCGTGTGCCAGTACATTGTGGCCTTGGTCTGGAAATGGAGCATCGACCCGGACAATTCGGTGATCCCCTACCTGACCGCCCTGGGCGACCTTCTCGGCACTCTTTTGCTCTTCATCGTCTTTGTCATCACCGACAAGTTTGACAAGAAAGAGATCATGGTCACCTAATTTTCCCCTTTTCCATCCATTTTTCTGTATATTTTGACTAGATTCGGTTGCTTTTTGGTGATTTTTCTTCATGTTTCTTTGATAAAAAGCTTCAAGGGGTCACTTAAGGGTCGAACGATCTTTTAAACGACCTTAAGGGATCCCTTCAGCTTGGGGAAAGTAACGCAATGTTTGCGTGGAAACCGGTCGTTTCTGAGCATCTCTAGGGATCACTTAAGAGTCCTGACGCCCCTTAAGTGGTCACTAGAAATGCTGGAACGCGTTACCAAAGTCCAAGAGTTTGAAAAATTGAGATTTTGATTTTTAGATGAGATTTTTCAAAGGATTTAGGCAGTTTTAAGTAATTTCTTGTCAAATTTCCAATTTTCATCGATAAAATATGAGAAAAAATTATTCTTTCTGCAATTTTGTAACAGTTTTTGAGATTTTTGAGCGTTTTTCTCTTGAAAAAGGCACGATTTTTTGTTTGAAATCCGGAATTTCGTCAAAAAATGAATAATATTACCAAAACATCGTCTCCAGAATTTTTTCTTTGAAGGCGTGATCATTGGAATGATGAAATATGTGTTTCGAAATAGCTATATTTTCTGCGAAATGGTTCATTTTTCCAATTTTTAAGCATTTCTTCCTATTTTGACAACTATCCGGTTATTTTTGGTGACTTTTTATCATCTTCTAAGCATTTCAGGCCAAATTAGGGCTCCCTGCAATATAACTAATAGTATTTCGAGAATTTCCTCACTTTCCTAGTCATCCTGTGCAATCTCGCATAATTATATATAGAATTAACCACAATTTTAGCATAATTAACAATGATTCGATTGTCATATCTTCATATTTATTGCATCCAAGTGCCTTTTTTTTTGGGAAATAAAGTCGGTTTTTGATTATTTTTTTTCGTGACCTCGTTAAATTGTGAGAACATTTTCATATATTTTGTTGGTTTTTTTTTTTTTGATGATTTGGCAAAAAAAAAAATGAAAATGAAGAGATGAGCCTCGGCGATCGATGTGACGTCGGCGGCTTCCGTGGCACCGTACTCTACATTGGTACGGTAGACGGTTACGGTAGCCAGATTTATGCCGGCATCGAATGGGATGATCCGAGTAGAGGAAAGCATGATGGGCTGGTGAAAGGACGAAGGTATTTCCAGACGAGGTTGGTTTTTTGATTTTTGATTGAGTTTCTGTGATAAATGTGTTTAAAATGTGGTTTTAAAAAGCTTGTTTGATGTTAATTTGGTGAAAAATTGTTTTTTAGCAGAGTTTTCTTTAGGAAATTTGATGAAATTCTTTTTTTTAGGCTTTTTTGATGTTAAATTCGTGGAAAATTGGTTCTCAGCAGAGTTTTCTGTGAGAAATACGATGAAATTTCGTTCAAAAGTTTTTTTTCATGTTAAACTTGAGAGAAGTTGGTTTTTTGCAAAGTTTTCTTTGTGAAATTTGATTCAAAACGCTTTTTCAAAGTTATATTGTTAAAAAAAAATGAATTTTGAAAGATTTTCTCAGTTTTAAATTTGATAAAATGTGAATTGAAGGAATTTTTTTCATTAAAATTCGAAATAAAGGAAGTTTTTTTCAGTTTTTTTGATAATGCGAAAATTGTTCTAATAGTTTTTCTTTGTAGAACTATTGCTGAAAACACGCCTCGAAATATAATTTTTCGATTTTTAAAAAGTGAAAAAAATTTAGTATCAAGAAAATTTCTATACAAATTCCGATCGAAATGGAATTCCCTTAAGTATTTTTTTCATTCTGATTTGCGAAAAATTCAGTTTTCAACGAATATTCACGTCTAAATTGGAATTCATGGGTTATTTTTCGAGCTGTTATCAAGAATTTGTTTTCCAGAGCTTTTTTTGTACATAAAATTTGAAGAAAAAGATATTTGAATGACATTGTTTGAAAAAAAGAAAAATATATACTAGGTGATGAATTTTCTTAGAACTTTTTTGACAGAAAATCGGAATTTCATAAATTTTTGAAAGTTACTTTCCTTGTTATAAAATAGATGACGATACGTTCAAAAATGATTTTCTATGGAAAATTTGAAACAAGCTTCTGGAAATGAATTTTTGATGAAAAAGTTGAATAACAAAAATGTTTACAAGCTTTTTGAGGTAAAATTTAATTTGATTGATTTTTTTCCGTGATTTTTCTATTGAATCTCAGCAAAGATAGACAATTTGAAGCCAAAAACTACGACTTATTTAAATTTTTCAGGATTCCAAACAGCGGTTCCCTGGTGAAAATCGAAAATGTACAATTTCCATTGGACATTTACACGGAAATACAATCACGATACGGTGATGAGGATTCCGGGGAACCAGATGTGACTTAATTTTACTTTTTTTGTGTTTTTCAAACATGTTTTTACACAGAAAACGTTATATTCGTGTTAAAAAAACATTTTTTTCTTGAAAAAAAGTTATAACTTTGAAGTTTTCGTGTCTTAATAATTATTCGAAAGAAATTCGGTATCAATTCTGTGAAAAATTAAACCTTATTTGTTGGTTTTCTATTGAAAAAAACGCTTCAGAAAAACGGTGTAATTTTTATAGAATTATATATTTTTGAAGAGAGAATTTGTTTAATTTGATGGTTTTTGTAAGAAAAAGTTAACGAAAGTGTTTTTGAAGCTTGAGTTTTCAATAGAAGTCAGGTTTTAACTGAAAAAAATGGAAATTTTAAGAAAGACATTTAATTTTTTTGTGAGCGATTTTTTTCATGTTGAATATCAATAAAAAAATTACTTTTTTAATAAAAAAATCCAATTCAGAATTTTTTTATTGTTACAAGTTTCCATTAGAAAAGGTATTTAAATGTTAGTTATTTCATTTTTTCAGATCGCTCTGAAAATCTCGAGTAAAGTGGTTGAGCTTATTGGTATGGAGAAAACGGCCCGGAAACAGAGGTTATTTTTTTTTAAAAAAATGAATAGGAAATGGATAAAAAAAGCTTTCGTGGCAAATTTTGAAGTGTTTCCCGTTTTTTTAAAATGGAACTTTAGCTTTATGGAAGCGAAAAAAAGTTTTTTCCGATTTTTTTGACGGTTTAGCGTTTTTTTCGAACGTTAATTGTACACAGAATATTCATTTTCTCTTTAAAATGACATATTTCATTTTAATATTCTGGAATTTCAGCGTTTTCTTTGGTTTTTTTATCAAATTTTTTTCTCGTTTCCTGTGACTTTCCCCGGCTTCGAATTTTTGAAAATGAAAAAGAAAAAAAATTAACCAAAAAGTATATTTTTTTGCACAAAATTACAGTTTTTTAATATTAATTTTTAGCGTCTTTTTTTGAACATTTTTTTCTACACAAAATCCTCATTTTTTTGCTTAAAAACGGTTTTTTTGTGTCCTGAAATCCTGAGATTTTAGCGTTTCCTGTGAACTCCATCCTTTTTTCTCGTTTCCAGTGACTTCCACCGACTTGTGAACATTGTCCTCGATGGAAGATTCGTTGGCAAGGCGCCAACCGAAGAAATTCGCCCATTTTCCGCCTGTCGTGAACTGAATCTTCATGGAAATTTGCTCCATCGATGGGACGACGTCAGGAAAATCGTCAAGCTTTTCCCGAATGTCAAGGAGCTCGTCTTGAGGTCGGTTTTAGGGCTCTTAGGAACGTTAGAGTGGTCCCTATAGGGGCAACCTTACGACTAGTATGGCCCCTATAGGGATCACTAACTGAAGTCCCTAAAGAGGCCACTTTCTCGATCTCAAGTGATATGGATCCTAGATGGGCAGTCTTACGACTACTATGTCCCCTATAGGAATAACTAACTAAAGTCCCTAAAGAGGCCACTTTTTCAAACTTAATTGGTATGGACCCTAGATGGCAGTCTTACGACTACTATGTCCCCTATAGGGATAACTAACTAAAGTCCCTAAAGAGGCCACTTTTTCGAACCTAGAGAACCTTAGTAGCCCTCGAAGGTCCCCTTCTAGGGAACTCTTTTTATCAAACTTAAGTGACCCCTGTAAATGGAAATGAAGTGGTCCCTAGAGGGGCAACCTTATGTCTAGTATGCCCCTATAGGGATAACTAATTTAAACCCCGAAGGGGCCCCTTTTTCAAACTAAGGTGAAGTGGATAATATAACCGTAAGCCCTGGGAATTGAAAATTAATACAAATCTTCTAGAAAAACGTTCGAAATTTTTTTCCTGCCGAATCCTACCAATTGAAATTGTCATTAAAAATGCCATTTCATAATCTTTTGAAACGTATTTCCTAGCTGTTATTCATTTCTCACGGCTTCATTCTGTCTTACCTGTCTGTGCCCTCTTTTCTCTTATCAGGAAGGTTAGAGAAACGTGAAAACGAGAGGGTGTAGAGAAACCAAAATTTCCCAACGGATTTTTTTGGAATTTTTTTGTGATTTTGAAGATTTTTTAGGCGAAAACAGCACGTAAAAAGGAGAGAGTGCAGGGAAATCAGATTTTTTCAAGCTGAGAAAATTTCATGAATTTTTTATGTGATTTAAAAGAGTTTTAGGCGAGAAATAGCACCTGAAAACGAGAGGGCTCAGAGAAGTCAGAATTTTTTCCAACTTGTAAAGTATTAAACGTATTTTTGAAGTTCTTTAGGCAGAAATAGCACGTAAACGTGAGAGGGTCCAGGGTAATCAAATTTTCCCAAAAAGGGGGGGGGGTTTATGAATTTTTCAAATAATTTCGAATATTTTCAGGCAAAATCGCATGGACGACATTCAAGAGGAAAATTCGACCATTTCTACGAATGATTTGATTATTTCCACTTCAGTTATACGATTGTCGATTAGTGAATGTAATTTAAAAGATGAATCGGTGGGTTTTTCTGGAAAATGCAGGCTTTTGAGTGGAAAAATGGCTCCATTTTGAATGAAATTTCGGTCCGAGACTGGTGAAAAATAGGCGATTTTTTATTGTGGGATGCGCTGCGGTCGCGACGCGGCTTTTAGCGGGAAATGAAAAAATTTAAATGTGAACCGCCTTTTTTCTCATTTACATGGTTTTCTCAACGTTTTCTAATGGTTTCAGTACCTCAGTTAGTTAATGGCTTCATTTCAATAAGATTCCGGTCCAAAACTCGTTATAATTCGAAGAATTTTTACGAAGGCGCTGCGGTCGCGACGCGGTTTTTGGCGGGAAATGAAAAAATTCAAATTCGAACCGCTTTTTTTTCTCATCGTTTTTGTACCTCAGTTAGTTAATGGCTTCATTTTCAATGAAATTTTGGGCCGAGACTCGTTATAATTTAAAAAATTTATACGGAGGCGCTGCGGTCGCGACGCGGCTCTGGGCGGGAAATGGAAGAAATTCAAAAAGTGGACCGTCTTTTTTTCCTTTTTTTCTTAGGCTTTTTTTGTGGTTCAGTTTTTTTAATAATATTATAAAAAAACTAACTTTCTTACATTTTTTTCTCCTGCTCTCGTTTAAATTTTAAATTTCGCGCCATAATTTATAGTCTGTCCAAATTTTGAATGTCAAGTGGGCGCTCAAGCTCCGCCCCCAATAGCCGATAAACCAATGAGAGAGCGAGCCTTCCACAAAGCCTTTCCATATGACGTCATTGTACTTGACATTGAAAAACTATACTACATTTAAAAAACCGGAATTGTTTTCCAGATCGAACCCATCTTGAACTGCTTCCCCGTGGCGACGGAAATCGTGTCGTTCATCAACAATCTGTCATTTTTCAACCCAGGAAAAGATGCTTCGGAACGATTGACAGTGCTGGATTTGGAGATGAACCCCTTGAAAAGCCTCGATTCCATCCGTGGAGAATATTCGAAGTTTATATTTTCGAAAAAGAAGCAGTCTCCTACAGGACATCTTGAGTGGTCCCTAGAGGGTTTTTTTTTTTTAGAAAAACAGCCCTCACAAGAAACAGAATAGTGCTCTCTATAGGGGTAAAACCTAGGTGGTCCCTAAAGGGTTTAGGGTCTGACCCATAAGCTCCTAAAGCTTAAGTGCTCCCTAGAGGGTCGAAGTTTATGTGTGCCCTAGAAAGGTTCAGTTTCTGACCTCTAAGCTTAAGTGGTCCCTTTAGAGGGGAGAGGGGTTAGGAAGAAAATACAGCCCCTATAGGCGTCAAAATAGCGCTCCCTAAAGGGGTAAAATTTAAGTGGGCCCTATAGGGATTTAGGGTGCTTGATGGTCCTACGAACGTTAGAGCGAAAAAGCATCTATACAGGGTGACAAGTAAATATTGAAACCGTTTTTTGTTTGATCGCTGCTTTTTGCACAAAGGACTGGCCTTTGAATTTTTTTGTTTATTTCGTTCATTCATGCTCACTTATCATGTGTTTGAAGTTACAGCTCATACTTTTCAGTTTTCAGGTAATGGTGGCCCCATCTCCGTACCGTACCGCAATCATTGATTGTGTCAAAAGCGGAATGACGAATTCAGAGATCGTTAAAAAGCTGAAAGTGTCTCGTGTTCTCGTTTTTCGAACTGCACAACGTTATCGGCGTCTCGGTACTTCAGATGACATGCAAAGAAGTGGACGTCCAGTCACCGTCACGACTCCAGAAGCAGTCAAAGCCGTTCGAGAGAAAATCAGACGCACTCCGGAAAGAAGCGTGAGAAAGATGGCAAAAGAATACGAAATGAGTCGAGAATCGATGAGAACTATTGTCAAGGACAAGCTGAAGATGATTCCCTACCGTATGCAGAAAGGAGCCTTCCTCAGTCAAAAAAACAAGACATTCCGGATGAAAAAGGCTTGAAAGCTGCTCGCTGGCACGAAAGATGGCTCGCATCTGACGACGCTATTTACCGACGAGAAAATCTTCACTGTGGAGGCGAACAACAACGGCCAAAACCATCCGATCATCGCTACGGACTATCAGAGTGCCTGTGAAAAAGAAAAAATTCTGAATAAAACTTCGCATCCGGCTTCCGTGATGGTTTTTTCCGGAATTACCGCTGACGACAAAACTCCGCTGATTTTTGTGGATTCTGGAGTCAAAGTGAACCAAGTATACTACAGGGAGTAGATTTTGAAGTTGAGGGTGTTGCCCTGAGCCAATTCTCACTACGGAAACCGACCATGGACCTTCCAGCAAGACGGCGCCCCCGCTCATCGTGCCAAAGGGACTCAAGAGTGTTGTCGCGCCAATTTTCCGAGTTCATCTCGGCTGCTGATTGGCCTGCTTCCTCGCCCGACCTCAACCCGATGGACTATGCCGTGTGGATATATCTGACCGAGAAGGTCTCTTCTAAGAACTACCCAAGTATCAAAGCTCTGAAGACCGCGCTCATCAAGAAATGGGACGAAATCGACGACGACTACCCTCGTGCCGTGATCGATGCGTATCCGAAGAGACTGAAGGCCGTTATCAAAGCTAAAGGAGGACGTTTTGAAAACTATTCTTGAATTTTGTTTCTATATTGTATGAATAAAATTTGTTCCAAGTTTGGTGGTGTTTGGTTGACTTTTGAGAAAGTTATAACGTTTCAAACGCGTTTCAATATTTACTTGTCACCCTGTAGAAGGCGAAATAGTGCTCCCTATAGGGATTGAGGGTTTGATCCATAAACTCATAAATATTGAGTGGTCTCTAGAGGGTTTTTTGAGAAAAACAGCCCTCAAAAGAAACAGAATAGTGCTCTCTATAGGGGTAAAATCTAGGTGATTCTTTAAGGGTTTTAGGGTCTGACCCATGAGCTCCTAAAGCTTGAGTGGTCACTAGAGGGTTTTTTTTGAGAGAGACAGCCCTTTCAAGAAACAGAATAGTGCTTTCTATAGGGGCTAATCTTAGGTGGTCCCTATAGGGATTGAGGGTCTGACCTATAAGCTTCTAAAGCTGGAGTGGTTCCTATAGGGATTGAGGGTTTGATCCACAAACTCATAAATTTTGAGTGATCCCTAGAGCGTTTTTTGAGAAAGACAGCGCTCACAAGAAACCAAATAGGGCTTTCTATAGGGGCTAAACTTAGGTGGTCCCTAAAGGGTTTAGCGTCTGACTCATAAGATCCTGAAGCTTGAGTGGTCACTAGAGGGTTTTTTTTGAGAAAGACAGCCCTTTCGAGAAACCAAAAAGTGATTTTTATAGGGGCTAAACTTAGGTGGTCCCTAAAGGGTTCAGGGTCTCACCCATAAGCTCCTAAAGTTTGAGTGGTCCCTAGAAGGCTTTTGAGAAAAACAGCCCTTACGAAGAACCAAATAATGCTTTCTTTAGAAGCTAAACTTAGGTGGTCCCTATAGGGAGTGAGGGTTTGATCCATAAACTCATAAATCTTGAGTGGTCCCTATAGGGGTCGTTCAATTTCTAAGTCAGATTTTAAAACATTCAATTAATTCTTAACGGTAATATTATATTCAAACAACGGATAACAATAAACGAAAAGTCCTCCCCTAGAATGGCCACTTTTACAAGATTTAGTGCCTCTATAGGGGTGGGTAAAGTTTTCCTTAAAGGGAAATCCGCTTAAAATTGCCCTCTAGGGACCACTCTGGCGATCCCAAGTTTTGAAGAAAATAAAAACTTTCCAGTCTGCGAAAGTTGAGCGTCGCCGAATGCGGAATCACATCTTTGTATCCTTTAAAAGGCTCGAGATTCCCGAAATTGGAGAATTTGAACTTGAAACGGAACGAGATCACTGAAGTAATCCTTCTGTCCCTTGAAGTCTTATAAAATTATTATTTTCCAGTGGAAGAGCATAAGTGCCCTCCAATCATTGCCTTCTCTCCAAATTCTTCACATTGATTGCCCGAATTTCACCACCGAGCCTGGAATTCCTCCCCATGAGGTTCTTTTTTTGAAATTTGATCATGGAAATGGGTAATTTTAGGTTATCGTCGCGAAATTGTCCAGTGTCATTGAGTTGAATCGATTTGATATCAGTGAAGTCGAGAGGAGATCTGCTGAGGTATTTGAAAAGGATAAATTGGAAAATGAAGTCCCAAGCTCACAATTGGGCCTTTTTAGAGAATCCCAGATCGGTAAAAATTATTTGAAACCTACCCTGAACTTGGAATTTTAGAATGAATGAGCCTGTGAGAGGGAAAGTGACTAGGGAACGTTTTACCCCCTATCGTTGAACTTGATGAAAATTTTTTTGAATTTTTATTTTCTGGGCCTCCTGATTGCAGAACAAGAAAAAAAATTTTTTTGCAATAAATCTGGTTTTAGAATTAAGACCATACGTCGACTGGATCCCCCCCAAAAGAGCGGCCTACCTTTTTTTTTGCGCCCAAATGGCTGGGGTGGGATCCAGCCAGTGTGTAGTGAAGACGCTTCAAAAACCCGAAATTTTCTGTCATAATTGGCGTATTTTGACTTTGAAGCTCCATAACTTAGAAACAAGATCTGTTGCGACAAATTTTTCCCTTGTTCTGCAATCACCAGGTCCTGAAGTAAAGCTGATTCACGGCTGGCTTGAGCCATCGAGAAAAGGGTCCTGTCACGAAAAGAGACGAGACAGTGCCCTGGGTGGAGAGTGCAGACAGGCCACGCCTTTTTGCGTCCCAAGCTAGCCGTGAATCGCCTATACCATCCAGCAAAGTTTCATCATAATTTCAACCAGCTGTGGGGGTTTAGTGGGTATGGATGAAAGGTCTGTCCAAACGAATTCTGTGGCTCGGATCTGTCAGTTCAGTCCATAAATTTCAGTATTTCGCTCAAATAAATGAATGACTTGGCACTCTAAAAGGAAGAATATCAGTGATTTTTTTTTCGTTCCGCATTGAACACCCGATTCGGAAGTTTTCTGGGATCCAGTTTAAAATATCCATTTCGGAAGGAATGGGTTTGCTTGAAAGTAGACCCGAAATTAGCCATAGAAACCAACTAATCTCAGTTTTTATCAAAGGAATCTTTTTTCAGATCCGATTCCTGAGCAAATATTGGGCCGTACGTGAGGAACAGAGGAATTTGGATCATTTGGACGATTTGAATCGATTTTTGAAGGTTTGGAAGAAAATAGAGGGTCCCTAGGACCCGAGGGAGGCTCTTGAAGCTTCCACTCAAGGGACCACTTTTCCGTATAAGGGGCACTGAAGCTTCCGAAAGCGCCCACTCTAGGGGTTCCAGTTGGTGGTCACTGTACGCGAGAATGTTAAGAATGAGACTCTAAAAGAACTGTATGGACCACATAATTAATAGTTATCTAGGGAGCACTAATTTTTTTCTAACCCCTCCAGGGACCACTCTGGCGTTCCTACAACCAAAAAATGCATTACTAATTTAAAAAATAATGTACAAGTCCCAAAAAAAAATCAAATTTTCCGCTGATTCGAAAAATACCCTATTCTTCAGCCCTTTGTCCATTGTGGACCAAAAAAAGTCGTCGGTTTGAAATATTGTATTTTCCCTCTTTGGCCAAAAAATACCGAATGAGATTTTTTTTTTTTCAATCCAGAAAGTCAATAAAAAGACCTTGAAAATGGTCAGATTTTTCACTGATTTCAAAAATAAAGACTTGTCATTTTCATTTTGGAAATCGGTTTGAAATATGGATCTATCATTTATTCACCTTCAAGGCGCACGGCGATCCGGTCCCCCTTGAAGTACCCAATAAACGGCTGAACGTGATGACGCTGAACATCAAAATCGGTCGGAAACGCGTCAAAAAATCCCTGCCGATGACGGTGTCCGTTCAGAGGATCGGGCAGTTGGTAAGGAATTTCAGGAAAATTTGATTTGTAAAATTTTTTCCGAAGTGAAAGCTTTGTATTCAATCGTAGAGTAGAATATATTGACGCAGTTGCGTTTTTTTTAGATAGAAAAAATTGCGGTTTTTTTGAAGTTTCAAGGAGTATCCAGGTCAATTATCAGTGAAATTTCAATCCTACTGGGAAAATTTTTAGTGGTCACTATAGAGGCTCGCCAAGGGCTACTTGAAAAGGACACTAAAGTGGCCGCTAAACCCACCTCTATAGTGGCCACTATTTGTTCATTAGTGGCATCTTTCAGTCATCTAGTAGTATCACTTAGAACTCTTTAGTGGCCAGTAATTTTTAACCGCTTAAGTGGCCACTATTTTTCGTTTTAGTGGCTACTTCAGTAGTTTTTCATCCAAAATTCCTTCCAGTAACTCTGATAATTTTAAAACCAACAGATTGGACCAGTTATAATGATCCATTGACCCCTAAAGTGACCACTAAAATTTTTTCTGGCCTAGTAGTAGCACTAAGACATCTATAGTGACACTAATATTCCCTTGAGCTAAAACTTAAAAACCCTATAGTTGCCACTAAAAGTTTACCCAGTAAACCTTCCTTGTGACTTCAAAACCTTTTTCCAGATCGCACGAATGTTCGGCGTCCAAGACGAACCCTGGGAGCTTTTCCTCCAGAATGAGCGTTGCGAGCGAAGATTCGCCCTGAATAATCCTTCGAGGACCCTGAGCTATTATGAGCCCGATGAATTCAGCGAGTTGGTCCTGGAGGGAGGCCCGGCGTGGCACATCGAGTTCTGTTGAATTTCCTTGTTTGCAGCATTTTTATTGCGAAAGGGTGTATGACAGAGTTTTTTTGACTCGAAAAGTTAGTATAAAACTGGGAAAATATTTAGTGGCCACTATAGTCGCCGAAATAGTGGCCCCTTTAGGGTTTTGCCTAAGTGAATGGCTTAAAGCTTCAAGCGGATTTTGCGAAATTGAGAAAAATCCTAGTGTCCACTTAAGAGGCTTCTGAAGGCCCACTAGGGTTTTGACATTTCAGTGACCACTATAGTAGCCGAATTATTGGCCACTTTAGGGTTTTGACATTTGGAATGGTATGAAGCTTCAACCGGCTTTTCCGATTGAGAAAGTTTCTAGTGGCCACCTAAGAGGCTCCTAAAGACTTCTTGGAGAGGGCCACTAAACAATTTCTCAGATTTTTGTCGGTTACTTACGAATTTCCTGTGATTTTATGATTTGAAAATACATCTCCCGTGATTTTATCGATGGAGTGTTAAATTCCAAATTTTTGAGGCCGTTTCTTTAACTTTTTTGGTCATTTACTGGGACCTTTTTTTCACGGTTTTCCTGTCATACACCATTTTTAAGCATCCTTTTTCATAAAATTTGATTTTTACTCGAATTCCGTGTGATCTTTTTACTCGATTTTTCAATAATTCCTAATTTTCCTGTCCATATTCATTCTTACCGCTTACTTTTTTACTTGTACCTCTGATCTCAGTTCAGTTTTCCCTTTGGTTGTCTTTTTTTACGAGTGTCATTTCTTTTTTCTCGAGATTTTCGTTATAAATTATCGAAAAATTCTTAATTTTTTCGTGGAAATTATCATGATTATTTGATACGTCATACTTTCCGTTTCCTGTAATTTTTAAAAAATATTAACTTTTTTCGAGATGACCGAAATCCCCAAGGCGACGTTCCGCAATTTAGCCGTTTTATTGATCAGAGCAGGTTTGATTTTTTAAATTTATATAGCAAAAATTTTTTTCTGGAGTAGCAGGTAGTTCTAAATTTTTACGGGCTAATTCAAAATTTAAGCTAGAAAATGTTTGAATAAGGCTTAAATTTGGAGTAGGTTGCTATTTTAGGCACACCGATGCCACGAAATTCCAATTTCGCGTAAACTTTTAAAACGTCGTTTTTGAAATCGTCGAAATTACTTAGTACACGGAATTATAGTTTTCTTCAAAGTACTAGGGTGTACTATTTTCCGGGAAAAACGAAAAACCTGAAAGTTTTTTTAAGGAATCCGCCTGAGAGCTCGAAATAGGACGGTTTGTTCAGCGATTATGATGGTGAATCGACTCTCGAAAACGGATTTAATCAATGATGTTTGTAATTATGTGAGTTTGGACTTGCTGTCTTTCGAAAACACAGTGAAAATTTCATATATCAAGCTGAAAAATCAAAAAAAAATCAATGATAAAAATAATCTCGCATCGAAATTTAAAATTCTGATGTGAAAAGCTAGCTTTCCCCATAGGAAAAGAGCCATATATTTATTTGTTCCATTGAAAGAATTTCCCTGAAATCACAAAAAATGGCTTTTGCCACAAAAATACAAGAATTTGGCCCATTCCCAGTCTTTAGTCGAAAAATTGGTCTTTTTTCAAACTTTCCACGACAAACTTTGAGCCTAAATGATAAATTAAATCGTTACTCAAATCGGTTCTGTTTGGATTGTCAATGGCGCGACGGTACGTCATATAAATAGCATCAATTAATCTCCGAAACAAACTTTTTGAGCCCCGATTTGTGTTTATTTATTTATTTTCCTGGTTTAGAAGTTGGGAAAATGGTAAATAAAATGTTGAGAAATGAATAAACATGTTATTTCGAACAGGATTTGTTAGAGTTTTGATGATTGATATGAAAAAAAAACCATGTATCAATCTGCTTTTTGTATGATCAAGTCTTCAGAAAAAATAATAAATTTGAAAATTTTGGGCTCTTATTATAAAATTCAATATAAAAAAATGGTAGAAAACTACGAAAAAAATTTCAAAATTTTTGACCCTAAAAAAAGGAAAAAAATCGGTTTCGGAATCAACTGTGTAGCCGTCTAGCCACCCTCCACACTTTGAATGCTCTCTAACTGTGCGACGGAGCGCGATTGACCAGAATTTTCGTCTTTTACACTAAGAATAACTGCCGAGATAAACGCGAGACACTGGCGGTACATTGACGAGCTCGCAAACATCTCGCTTTTTTTCTCGCGCCGGTCTCGCATTTTTCTGGGCGCGAGCTCGCATTTTTCTAGGCGCGAGCTCGCATTTCTCTCGCAATTTGAAAATTTCCGAAATGCAAGATAAATGCGAGATGGCGTCGTGAAAAATGCGAGGTCGCGCCGAGAGAAATGCTGGATCGCGCCTAGAAAAAAAGCGACATTTTTGCGAGTTAGTCAATGTACCGCCACCGAGCTCGCATTTATCTTGTCAGTTATTCTTAGTGTATTGGCACAACCATTTTTTTTCCTTTTTTCAATTTTTATGTTTTTCAATTGGTTTTCTTTTTTTTAAATCATTATTTTTGGCTCAAATGAAAAAAGGCAGTTTTTCAAACCCTTATTGAGTAGCAAATTCAAACTTTAACCATCATGAATAAATTTTTTTCGAATTTCATTCAAAGTTCAATGGGGTTTTCGAATTTTGTTCTTAAATTTACAAAATTAGTTGAAAAGTTGCTTTATAACACATCTTCAATGATCGGAACTCGAAATGGACTTTTTTTCTAAAGTTAAAATTTCAGAGAAATCAATTTTTCAATTTTGTGTTCACATACTTTAAACTCTTTTTTTCAATGTATTTTTATTTTGTTTTTTTAATCAAATCGATCCTTTACAGACCCTCGCCACGGCATGTTTAACCGTTGCGGTCAAACAAATGGAGGAGAATCATATTGGGATTCGCGACGTGATTAATTCTGTACATAGGTGGATATTTGTCTTTTTTTAAAGTTTTCTCAAGGAAAATTAGTTTTTTATGTCCATTTTTTAAGTTTGCAGAGAGAAAATTTTTGTAGTTTGAATTTAGGAATGTAAAATTACGCTAAAACTCAGTGAATGATGGCTTTTTCTGAAAATATGCCTTTGAAAAAGTTCTTTTTTTTGTGCTATAAATCTTCGAATTCCGTTTTTAGAACAGGTTTTTTTGAATTCATAGTAATTTTCAGATTCTAAAATTTGATATTTTTGAAATTTTTTTAATAATTATGTTTTTTTCGATTGGAACACTGCTTATTCTAGAATTTTTGATTCATATTAAATGTCGTAAGACCAGTTTTCTTCACAAATTTTTCATTGAAAGCATTTTTTCAAGCTTTGATTGCTCAAATTTCGTCGAGTTTGTATCGAAATTGACCATTTTTGTATAATTTTTCATGTTTTTCTCGTTTTCCTCGTATCAATTTTTCCCAGAGTTCTTCATCCGGACGAAAAAATGATGGAAATCGGGGAACAGTTCTGGGGAATTCGTTACGGAATCGCCAGAATGGAGTTCATCGTTCTGCGATTTTTGTCCTTCGATATTCAGTTTGAGGATCCTTTTGTGGTTAGTTTTTTCATATATTTTTCAGAAAGAAACGAAAATTTTCAGCCCCTCGCTTTATATTTAGACGCCTTGAGAAGTTGGCTACCGCGGGAGTTCCAAGAAAAACAAGGTGAGTGAAAAAGATCAATTCAGGCGAAAAAACTGGAGTTCAAGGGCCAAAATTGAGGGCCAGAGTGGTCCCTAAAACTAAAAAGTTGAGATTTGAGTACATTCCGTTCAATGAAAAGATAGGACCCCCCCTCGATTTTGAACTTTCTGCCAAAATACGGAAAGATATCGAAAATCTGTGAATGCCATTCGATTCAGAGTACAAAATAACCCCCAGAGCCAAACTTTCATTCTCCTAGCACTTTTCCTACGAAAATGTCATCGAAAAAACGGTTTTTGGACCGTTCAATAAGGATAGGACCACCTGGAAATTTTGAGTTTCATTGGTATTTTTCGGTCAATTTCTCTTTTCGATAAGTGGTTTTTTCGTTTTCATATCATTTGTTTTCCAACTTTTCTACGGTTTTCTTTTCATATCTTCTAGATTTAAAAAAATTTTATATCGAAAATAGGGAAAAATGACGTTTTTTGAGGTTGCATCATAATATTCGAGCGAGTGAATTTTTCCAGTACTCTGAATGAACTTATCTGATTAACAGAGACTTTGCAACATTCAGAAAAACAAAAAGAAGTTTGAAAAACGTTCGTTTAAAAGTTAAAAAACCAATTAAAAGACAAGTGCAAAAAAGTCGCCGTAGGATTTTTCGTTTTCTCAACGATTCCCGTCTTTTTTTTACGAGTTGTTAAAAATTTATTGTTAGAAAAATCGTAAAAGCTTTCCGGGCGCGTCTGGAGATGTGTTACCATTGTATTGATCTGAAAAATCAGTCTCCTTTTCTTGTTTTTTTTTTCAAATTATAAGCCTGATTTCCCTTATCTTTACCTTTAAAGTGAAGTTTCTTGATTTTTTCTTTACCTTCATAAGACCCTTAGTCAGGATTGAGGTTCAAAAAAAAAATTGAAGCTGAAATTTTGTAAGGAGTAGGATTACGAGTAGTATAATTTTCAAAGAAATGTTTCAAAAGCCGTCTTTTTTCCTTTTTATATTAGAAACTTAAGGTTCTTTAAAACACAGAACCCTTAAATAACCAAAAAAATGAAACTGAAAAAAACGGCTCTTCGCTTCGAGACCCTTGTTCTGTAAAAATTTTGAGTGTATCGGTTTATTTTTTTCATTTTTGAAGCTAAGGTTCAAAGAAGAATATAATTTGTTGCATGAGAGTTTGATACCAACCAAATTTTCAATTGAAAAAAAATCTATTGTCATAATCTTTTTATAATGAATTCAAAGCCGAAAATACCGCCCATAACTCGCTCACAAGGAAGGTTATTTCCATTTGTGGTTGAGAATTTTCTGAAAAATGGCCAGAACACTCCTTGATGTACCAGAAAAGATTCTGAGAGTCGCAACCTCCAAAATTTTCTACTTTTTGAGAAAAGACACCTTAAAGTTGAATAAAAGCTTCAAAACCCGGTAAAGTAGGTCTTTTGGGGCTTTGAGATGTCTTTTCTCGAAAACTAGAAAGTTATGCAGGTTGAGACTTCCAGAATCTTTTCCTGTTATAGTCTATTCCGCGCCAGCTTGTCACGTTTTTCTTCCCGCCAAAAAGACCGTATACCAAATTAGATCAAATTTCTGTTTTTATAACGGCAAGAAACAATGATCTTGAAGCGAAAGGTGGTTAAAATTGACCTGGCCTTTTGGCTGAAAGAAAAACGTGACAAGCTGGCGCGGAATGGCCTATACTCCAAGAGGGTTTTTGGTTAACTTTCAGGAAAAAAAGCATAACCAGAAGTTGAAATGACCTACCTTCTAAGAAAGAATTATTTGACCTTTTCGAATTTTCCGTCACTTTTCAGTGATCGAGTCCTGCAATGCGGTGATGCGCGATTGCTTCACATTTCCACGGCTTTTCGAAGAACGGAAGGTACACGAAATCGCGATCGCCGTCCTCTGCTTCGTCCTACGGGGAAAGGACATCGAGCTGCCCAGGACTTCCAAGCCCTGGTTTCAGGTATTTTTTACCTTGATTTTGGATAACTTGTGAATTTCCTGCTTCCGAGTATTGAATAATTTGTCATATTTTTTTTGTCACAAAAAGTGGTCCTAATGAACGAGAAGGGAGCCGATAATTGGTCCTGCACCTTTAATAACAAGCTTTATGGGGCCTGGGACTGTTTTTTGAGCTCCTCTAGAAGATTTTAATGGACTTGGATTTTTTCAAGGGACTTAAAATGAGCATAGAAGTCAAAAGGAAGGTTCTTCGAACATTTTTTTCTGAACATTTGGGTTTTTTCATGACTTTAACGGCTGGGGGTGGTGGTACCTCAAATCAGAAGTTTGTAGTTTGAAATATTTTTCCAGAGAAAGTGACGTAAAACTTAATTTTTTTACGTAAAAAAAGGTAATTAGGTTCGGACTGAACAAAAAAAGTTACGCGCTTATTTCTGTAACTAACTTCCCATTTTGATGCAAGATAATTGAAAAAAATGGTTCTTGAAAAATATTTTTTTAAAAAAATTTGAGCCCTTTTTTTCCTTCATTTTTCTCATTAACAGGCGGTGCTTCAATCTGTAGTTTGATGATACTTTTTTTGTTTTAAAATTGAGTTTTTGGCCCTTAAATTGTCAGTTCATTGGAGAAATGGCTTAAATTACTTCTATGAAGTCAGTTTTTAGGTTTAGAAGTCATTTTTTCAATTTGTAGGTTTTTTTTCCATTTTTTCAAAGTTGATAGGAGTTTTCAAGCGTTAGAAAAATGTTCGGGCGAATAGGATTTGAATAAATTTGTGTTTTATGGAAAACTTCACATTTTGATGTCTGTATTATTCTTCCAAAATGAAAGGAACCGAATTAAAATAGTATTTTTTTGGACTTTTTTTGGCTTTTTAGTTGAGATTTAGGGGTCATTGAGTGAAAAAAATAATCAAAAAAAGGGCATAAATTTTTTTCAATGAATATGTATAATATTGAAATTTGAAAGCCACATTTTGAACTTAAAGGCTTTTTTCCTATTTTTTGAAGTTCATGGGATTCTTTCCGATTCAAAAAAATATTCGTAGGGCTAGGATTAGAATAAATTTGTATCTTCTGGGAAAAATCAGAGTTTGATGACGGTTTTCCTCTTCAAAAATTAAAAAAAACGGTTATTTTTCACCAAAACTCGATTTGATCTCCTTCAAGCTCATTTTTTTCAGAAGCTCTACAAAAGCTCGCTTTCTTCCCGGAGAGTGAGAAAACTCGAGAAGGTCATTGCGACGGAAGTCTACGGGCTGCAGCTTGAAGAATCGCCCGAAAAAATTAAATCTAATTGAATAATTGATTTTTTTGCTTTTTTGCTATGATCTTTGAGACGTAACGGGAATATTTTTGATCAATAAATTTTGATTTTTTTTTCTCACTGTACTCTTTGGGTAAAGTCGATTGACGACACGTTTTTTTTGGTTTAATCAGGATTTTTTTGATTTTAATAGTTTATTTTTTCGAAAAGAACCAAAGTTTGTAGAATTTTTGGAAATCGACCCATTACATTTTAGGATTTTCGATCAAGTTTTTGAATTTTGTAAATTTTCTCACGATTTTTCTAGTTCTCAACTAGTTTTTTTGGCTTTTTATTCAAGAAACACCTGTTTTTTTATAAATTTGGATTAGGTTTACAAAATTCTACAGACACCTTTGTACAGCCCGGAAAAATATCAGCTTTTCTATCGATTTTTTTTCAATTTCCAGCGATTTTTCCCTGGAATAAGAAGCTCTAATAAGTCCTGAACTTATTCCAATCATTCAAGTTCAATTTTTTCTCATATTTTATATTTCCTTAGACCCCAAAAACCGTCAAAAATGATCAAATAAAGCAGCCAAAATGGCCATTTCCTCAACAAAAGCGTGTGGACAAATGCGCCCCGATGCGAAACGGTCGGTCGGTCGGGTTCTCGTCGTCGGAAAATAACGACGGAGAGACCGCCTGCGGCCGAAAACCACCCATTGATCTGCGAGTTCGACTAAACACGAAATTTTTCTAGCGAAGAAAATGTGGGCGGGGCCATTTCGGTCGTCGGCAAAACGTATCAGTAGCCGCCTTGTCTCGTCTCGCTTCTGTCTGCTACTTTTACCGGGCTCTTTTCTTTTAATCCAAGTGTTTGCCTAGGTTTTGAAGAGCTAGGTTCGAGGATTCTGGAAATGTTGGTTTGGATTTATAGGATCGTTTTTGACGTGAGTTAGGAGGCTTTGAAGATGAGCGACTTTTCAGAAACTCCTATGGACTTTTTGCCTTTTGATGATACTTCTTTGGACCATTTGCCTTTTGTAGTACTATCCTAGGGCTCTTTTCTTTTGATCCAAGTGTTTGCTCTGGTTTTGAAGAGCTAGGTTTGAGGATTCTGGAAATGTAGGTTAGGACTTATAAGGTCTAGCCTGAGGCTGTTAGGAGGCTCTGAAGATGAGCGACTTTTTGGATATTACTCTGGATTTTTTGCCTTTTGTAGTATTATCCTAGGGCTCTTTTCTTTTAATTCGAGTATTTGCTTTGGTTTTGAAGAGATAGGTTTGAGGATTCTGAAAAGGTAGGTTAGGATTGATAGGGTCCATCCTGAGGCTAGTTAGGAGGCTCTGAAGATGAGCGACTTTTCAGAGATTTTTTTATATTTTTTGCTTTTTGATAATACTGTCCTAGGGCTCTTTTCTTTTGATTTCAGTGTTTGCTCTGGTTTTGAAGAGCTAGGTTTGAGGATTCTGGAAATGTAGGTTTGGATTTATAGGATCGTTTTTGACGTGAGTTAGGAGGCTCTGAAGATGAGCGACTTTTTTGAAATTTTTTTTTGATTTTTGCCTTTTGATGGCACTGTCCTAGGGATCTTTTATTATGATTTTCATGATTTTCAAGGTTTTGAAGAGCTTGATTTCAGAATTCTGAAAATGTAGGTTAGGTTTGATGATTGTTGAAGTGAGTTAGGAGGCTGTGAAAATGAGCGACTTTTTTGAGATTTTTTTTTGATTTTTTTGCTTTTTGGTGGTACTTTTCTGAAGCATTTCACTTCTGGTTTCACTTTTTGCTCAGAAATTGAACAGCTAGGTTTGGGGATTCTGAAAAGGTAGGTTAGGAATTATAGGACCATTCTCGAGCTTTGTTAGGAGGCTTGAAAAATCAGCGAATTTAAAAATATCTTTTGGACTTTTTTCATTTCGGACGTGGCTGGCAACACTTCTTGAACTTCCAGATCCACTTTTTCCCATAAAAATATATCTAGCTTCTGAAAAACAAGCTTAGAGGCTTCAGAGAATTCAGATTTGGGCTTTAAGGCCCTTCTCGACCTTTGATGGGAGCCTTGGAAAGCCAGCGACTTTTCAAAGATCTTCTGGACTTTTTCATTTTGGTAGTTCCTAGCAACACTTCTTATACCCCTAGATTCATATTTTCTTTTAGACTATGGCTAGGTTCTAAAGGGCTAGGTAAGAGGTTTCAGAAAATGTAGTTTTGGATTCATAGGACCTTTTTTGACCTCAGTTAGGATGCTTGGAAGTCTTGCTACTTTCTTTGATTTTTATTTTAAATTCGAACCAGTTTTGGAAGGTTTTTTTCGACTAATTTTGAGCTTTCTGAGTCTCGAAATGGTAAAAATTGAAAATGAACCTTTCAAACCAGAATTATGAACCAGAAATAAACCAAATAATAAACCAGAACCAGACTTTTAACCTTTCTGCTGGGCTGACCCAATCCCATTAACTTCCAATGAAAGAACAAAGTCAGTTTCACTGCGCATCGACTCATCGACATCGATAGTGTGTAAAGACTCGTTTCTCTTCTGAAGAAGTCGAGAAAGCGGCAAAATTGAAAATAAACAAGGGGAAAGGTCGATTTCGAACGCGATAAGGCCTGGCTTGACCTTGGTGACCGTCGGTTTTATTCGAGTTTTCTGGTTTTATTTCCCGAGTAAAGGAGCTATTTGAGATCTTCTGGCGCTTTCTATTCTGTTATTTCAATTTTCGACTGATAAAGCCCCAGAAATGAAGGTTACTGTAGTGGCTATGGTTTCGAAAAGCTCTAAAAAGATTACGGAAGCTTAAAAGTCCGTAATGAATTATATGAGAAAATTTTCGAAAATCTTGATTTGAAAATTTTCAGAATCATTCACATTTTATTGAGAAGGAAATAGTCGCGAAAAAAAAACTCTAAGGGGATTACGGTAGTCGAAAAGTCCGCAATTTTTTTTCTGACGTCATTTTAAAGAAACTGTGGAAAATTTTGAGTTGAAATTTTTCAGAATCACTCACATTTTATTGAGAACGAAATGATCTGAAAAAAAATGTTTTTAGGGGATTACGGTAGTAAAAAAGTCCGCAATTAGTTTTTATGACGTCATTTTGAGGATATTTCGAAGATTTTGAGACAAAATAAAGTCGCCCATATTTCATCGAGAAGGAAATTATGCGAAAAAAAATTCTTAAAGGTTACGGTAGTTGAAAGTCCGCAATTTATTTTTTTGACTTCATTTTGAGGTAATTATGTAGATTTGTGAGATAAAATAATGTCACCTACATTTTATCTAAAAGGAAATGATGCGAAAAAAAATGTTCCTAGGGGATTACGGTAGTCGAAAAATCCGTAATATGTTTTCCTGACGTCATTTTGAGACAAAATCAAGTCACCCATATTTTATCGAGAAGGAAATGATGCGAGAAACGGGATTTCAAGATATCCTAAAAACTGGGTTTTCCTAGTCAATTCTTATCAATTGATATATATTATTGGGTTGTATATTTGGCTATTTTTTTGGAAATAAAGAGATTTGAAGACAAATTTATTCAGTAAAATATATAAGTTTATCAAAAAAACAGCTCATTTTTTTGACTATTTATTCATTGAAAATGACACTTTTTTTGACTATTTTTTTCATATTTCGCTACTGATTTTTTTCCCATCAAAAAGCCATTTCTATCCCTTTTCTTCGTATAAAAATGAAAAGAAGCCATTTCTCTCGATTTTCGCCTCCGTAACCTAAAAGTTCACGGAAAGACCGAAATGTGAGCGTTGTGAAGGAACATTTTTCCTCCGTTTTATTGTATTTCTCTTCTCCCAAAATATATAGTATCATATAGATGATATAAATAGCTTTTTGGTTCTTGGAAAAGGCGAAAAAGCCAGGTTTTTTGAGTTAAAATGCGTCGAAATTGAGCCGAAATCATTTTTTTACCTTTCCGAGGTTACTATAGTCGTTTTTGTGCATTTCAATGTGCAAGTTTGAATTACAGTAACCTGGTATCCGATATTCAGATGCTACTAGATTTAAATTGGTCGAGAAATCCAAAAAACCCTGATTTTTTGTGTCCCAAGGTTACTGTAGACAGTTATTGTGTACTGACCCGTGTATGCACAATTTCGAGCTACAGTAACCTTTTTCTGCTACTGCCGGCTGAGACTTGATTTCAAATTGGTTTGAAAGTTGACCTATCTCTTGGCTCAATTTTTTTGTTCCCGGAAATTTACTGTATGCAGTCGTTGTGTACTGCCCCGTGCATGCACACTTTTGAGCTACAGTAACCCAATATTTGCAGCTGGCTGATTTTTAAATTCACATTGGACGATGAAATATCCTCAAGCTTACTTTTTGTTGTCAGAGAGTTACTGTAGGCATTAGCTGTGTGCTGCCCCGTGTACGCACAATTTTGAGCTACAGTAACCCAATTTTTTGCAGTTGGCTGATTTTTGGGTTCAAATTGGACATTGATATATTCCTAAGTTAATTTTTTTGCTCTCGGAAGTTTACGGTAAGCAGTAATGATGTGCTAGTGTGTATGCACAATCTTAGGCTACAGTAACCCAATTTTCTTACTTCTGATCAGTAGAAACTTTTTAGACAACGAAAATCGTTAATTTTTTTCTCCAAATAATTTCTCTTATCAGCTTAGAAATCAAAAAAAGAAAATTGAAAACAAAAAAACTAATCCCCGTACTTATTTTTTTCGATGTTTTTTTCAACCAAACAAGCACTGTGCAAATAATCAGAAAAAAGGGACACTTTTTTCGGGTCGAGAAAAATACGTGGCGGCTCCTCTCACACCGAAGAAAAAAAAAATAGAGAAAGAATGTTATTGGCTCACTGAGAAATATGTTTCTTTTGTTGACTTTTTGTTGTCCCCTTTCTTAACTTCCTGTTTTTGGACTTTTTTTTGTGAGTTGGGTGCGAATTCTTGATCACTTAAGGAGCTACTTTTGAAGGTAAAAACGATAGATTAGCCTGGGAAATTTTGTGAAGCTTGGAAAAGCTTGAGAAATCATAAAAATTCAATTGGAACCTTATTTTTCAGCTCTTCCTGG